GTTTAACCCGGCTAGCTACTTAGCTAGCATCTTTAGCGCAGTTACCGCTGGTTAAGAAGAACAGCTCTCGTTAGTCGCCATTATAAATAACACAAGAGCATTTTTCATAGCAATACGTTCAGATTTTAGCGTGACAATTGCAAACCACCGGTGGGGTGTTTTTGAGGAGAGTCTGGATGAATGAAATTTTGCTGGAAACGAAGCTACACGCCCAGTTGAGGCTAGCTAGCTTCAGACAGCTCCACTTCCTGTTTCAGCTAATTGCTCGACGGTTCGGTTCGGCCGAAAGCGAAGCGCGGTTCGGTGAAACAGCGAGCCGAAGACTCAAACCTACCCCGGTTCCATTGTCACAGACCACTACTTTCCTTCCCTGGCTGTCCATTGTGTAAAAGCCCAGTTGCCGCTGAACCCTCCTCAACTTTCTTCGGCAAGCCGGAAGGAAGACACAGCAGCCCGGCCAAGAAGAGGAAGGGAAGGGTGCTCATCCGGTGTGTGACGGAGCCGCTGAAATCACCACTCACTTCCTCTACTGTAAAAAAATTCATCTACTATATTTTACACTAGAATAGTTTCCTTCATTAGATCACCAGTGAAAAGCATCTAAGTTTAACGGCTGTTGTTTAATCTCCCACCAAACCTACACTTTGTTGAACCTCAAGAAGTGACTTGTTGCCACAAACTTTAAAGTAATCAGAATCAATTTCCAATTTTCTGCACACAAAACATTATAATTATAAATATATACGATTTATTCTGATATGTACCTATATGTTTTGGTAAATATATATATAAATGTTTTTACAACAAGGGCGGAGCAAGATGGGGGGCCAGGGGTGGCCCCCCTTAGCCAATCATCAGCCACCCCTACCATTTTTTCCTTCTAATACAGATGGTGGTAGCAGTAATACTCTCAAGTGGAATATTAGTTTTAATTTTTCATATAATACTTACTATATTTTCATATATTAATAATTTCTTGACAGTAAAAACACTATGGTTAATTATACACATCAATATTACAGGCCCCCCTGGGTGTCAGCGTAAAAAAAAAAAAAAAAGCCGGTGGAAATCCGTGGGCACGAATTGATAAACTAAGCGCACGGTTTTCCAATCCGCACAGATAAAAGAAGAAGTGCTCTCGGTTTATTAACCCATGCCCACGCGAATTGACTAAGTCTATATATATATATATATATATATATATATATATATATATATATATATATATATATATATATATATATATATATATATATATATATTGTTTTATATATATATATATATATATATAAAACAATTAATTGACTAAACTTACCTTGTAGGTGCGACCCTTGCATCAAGCTCTGAAGGTTCCGGAGCAGCTGTGTGCACATGGAATGCAAAGCAGGGCACACAGTTTATTGATGATCAATAAACCGAGAGCACAGCTTCTCAATCTGTCCGCACAGATTTTTTTTTTTTTTACCCTGACACCCAGGGGGCTCCTTACAATATAATAACATTAAAGATTAGCACAGAATTCATGCTCTTTTCAGAATTAGATTTTGTGTTACATGAGGTAAAGAGAAAGTGATGTGTCTCTGTAAGTCATCTAGGAGTCTTCGGTGAAATCATAGATAAAAACCTATTTTAATAAAAACGTTCAGTAGTTGTAAATATCAATTTTATACAGAATGATTATTGATAAAAGTTGGTAAGTACTGACAATGGAAAAGATGTTTGCCCCAGAACTCAGAATCAGAAATACTTTAATAATCCCAGAGGGAAATTACTTTTGTTACACGCTCCAGTTACAGTTTTACATGATATATACACACATCCAACTAACATGATATATACACACATCCAACTAACATGATATATACACACATCCAACTAACATGATATATACACACATCCAACTCAAACCTGAAAGTATTTTATCCACTATATCTTTTATCTCGAAAGCACGGATGTTTAAATATATGCGTCAGTTGCTTAGCAAAGGCTGTAGGAAAGTATAGTTAGTCTTATCTTTGGTTGACCCTGAGGTTCTGGCGCCTATCGACTTTCGGCCACCCCTCAGCGTACATTGGTTATTGCCTGGCCAGCCTTATAAAAAATTTCTGGCTACGCCTCTCTTTTTACAACAAAAATGTGGAGCTATAATACACTGATTCATATTCTGAAATCTGAAGTGCAGCAGGTACTGGAAAATAGTGAGTATAACTTAAATGCTTAGCTTTATAATTTAATTAAACTGTGCTTTGTGAGTATTTAGTTTACAGAATACTCTTCTAATTCATTTTTATTACTTGAAGTGAGGTTTTAATTAATAGTTCCATTAGCTGTACTAGAAAGATGTCACTCATGGCTCTTAAACCATGGTACAGGTGCCTCTGGTGCTTCTTGGGCTGCAGTTAAATAATTGTTTGCATCAATTAGACTTAGACAGATTTTATTTTGTCATTTTGTACACACAGTTGTAAACAAAAAGTGCAGCCTTGATAAGGTAAGTAGCAGTGATAAAAACATTGTGATGAAAGTGATGTAAACATATGATTGTATAGTTACAGTTCTAACATTCAGATTTTTTTTTTCGTTTTTTTTTTTTTTTTTTAATAACCCATTTTACATAACATTAAGCAGTCTGATGGCAGTGGGGAAGAAACTGTTCTGGAATCTGCTGGATCTGCATCGGATGCTTCGAAGCCTCTTCCCAGAGGACAGCAGGGAGAACAGTCCATTGATGTTACGGGCTGGGGACACACAGCGCTGGGATGAATTGTCTTTAATGGAGGGAAGAGGAGCCCAGATGATCTCTGGTGTTCTTACCACTCTTCTCACCTTCTTCCAGTCTGAGGCGCTGCAGCCTCCACACCACACAGTGAGACAGCTGGTCAGAACGCTCTCTATGGTGCTTCTGTAGAAGGTGGTGAGGATGGGTGGGGGCTGGTGGGCTCTCCTCATCCTCCGAAGGAAGTTCATGCGCTTTTGTGCCCTTTTGACCAGTGAGGTGGTTTTTACATTCCAGTTGAGGGTGTCTGTGATGTGCACCCCTAGGAATTTGTTACTGCTGACCACCTCTACAGCGCAGCTGTTGATGACCAATTATTAGTAACTGTGATGTCGAGGATCACAGTTAATATGAAAGAAGTATAGGTGGGTATTTATGTTTAGATTAATTTCCTTCTGAAGTCCAAACTTGGATTGTTTCAGTTCCAAGAGTTAAAAGTTGTGGAATTCAACCTAGAGGTTTTCATGGACTCTGCACTCTTATGCATTCTGCAAGAAAGTGAGAATACCTGGGGAGAACCCACACCTGCACAGGCAGAAAATGCAAGCTCAGTGCAATAAAAGGCCCTGGATAAGAAGTGAACCCTGAACCCTCTCCTGTAAGGCCTCAACGCTAACATATATGCAGACCAAGTATTCAGGATGTTGAGTTAATCAGAGCCGCTACTAATGTGATAAAAAAATTGTCTTTTAGGCAAAAATTTGTTTTTCAACAAATTTTTTATCAATAAATCATTGCAACAGCCCCACAGATGTTCAGTAAACTGCCTAACTGTTATTAGTTATACAAAACAATGCAACATACTCCGTATTTCTGCTTTTATAAATGATACCAATATGTTCATGAGGGGGAAAATAAGCATTATTAAGAGGTTTTATAGGCGATTTAGTTTTAGCTTCTTTTTCTCTAATTCAGTTAATTTTAATGTGTTTTTATAACTGGTTTGTTAGTTGTTCTTGTATTTTATTAGTTACAGTTATTTTAAAATGCTTAGTTTTTTATTTCATTTATTCTGTTATCAGTTTTTTTTTTATCAATACTGTTGTTAAATTTTAGGGTACTGGGTTAAAAAGTTCAGAGCATCGTATTTCCATGTACATATAAATGATACAAGGATTAAAAAGATATTATATTCCATCACTGGTAAAATTACAGCTGACTTTAAAGAGTCATGTAGATGAGAAAAGTAAAAACAATTGCATCGGGTGGGAAAGCTTATAACGAACTTGAAATATGAAAGGAAAAGACAGGTATGCATATGCATATATATAAACGAGTGTTTGTGGGTTTTTTGTTTACCAATTTTTATAGTTTAAATGTATATTGTCTTATATAGTGCTACAAGTAGGTTATTCTTTTAGCAAATGTCACGTTTTAGAGTTTACTATTGTACTAAGTAATGATTTGATTCAATTACCAAAATAATTGACATGTATTTGAAAAAAATATAAATCCTGATTAATCGCTTCAGTCCTAAATTCTAGTATGTTTTAGTCAGTGTTATAAACACACAATACAGTTTCAGTTAGTTATATGTTTTCTCCATTTATTTATCTATTTTTATAGGCAATTATACTAAACCTGGTTCCAGGACAGGTAACTCAAAATAAGCAGTACACTTTGGTAGAGTGCTGCAATAATGGTTTCATTCTCTATATTAGGTTTTAAAAGTCCTGAAGCAGTGCCAAACTCACGCTATAATATCCCCACGTTTGACTCTATGTTTGATGTTCATCCAGTTCATTTCTATTGCTTAACTTCCTGTTTCTGATCTGCATTTGAACTTCTTTAGGTCATAACCTGCTGAGTTGGTGTTTTATATATATATTTTAACCAACTTCATGTTGTGTGAATTCTTCTATTTATCTGATTTCTTGATTCTTCAGATACTTTGGTCTGGATGATGAACTTAATAATATATTTTCCCATAGGGTTAAGCAGCAATGTAAAATCCTAATCTGCAAAGTTCTTATGGCATTTACTTATATTAGTCTGAAGTTAAAATTGGTTTGATAAACCAAAACATTTAAGTGTAATTAAAACAGTAACTGTTTGTTGTTGTTTTTTTAACCAAGCAAAAGATAAATTAGTTTCAACATGTCTTTATATCTGAAACTTCCCATCTTTAAATCTTCTTAGGTGATCCATAAAGTTTTTTTAAGTGAGTGAAAAAAAAAATATCTATTTTAATTATACTTTTACACATTTTTAATCAAAATAAACTTATGCATTCTTAAAACATACTTGAAAAAAGTGCAGTATCTAAAGTAAAAACATGTTGGTTAAAAAACAAAATCTTAGGACTACACTTTACTATACTTAGTGTGCTCAATAGTGGTAAAAGTAAACAGCCAGCAGAGGGCGCAGTATGGTAAAGGAAAATAAAAGAACACTGACTGCATAAATGAAATAGGCCAGTAGGGAGAGTGTCAGGCTCTGCTTTTTTTCTACATCAATTGATATAAAGTTCATATATGTGGTGTTTTTCCTGTCTTTTTAAACAGTTCTTTGTTGTAGATGCAGCCTCTGATGTTGCAGGTTAGAATAGTTCTGGAGAAGAGTGAGTGCTGGGGGCAAGAGACATTGGGAACATCAGAACCTTGGCCTGCATGAAGGTCAGGTCAGGAAGTTCAGAAATCATTCTGTCTGCCTCTGCACTGAGCTCTTCTTGCGCTGATGGCTTCCTGATCAAGAACAGAAACACAAATCAACAGACATAAAGATTAACAGTCAATTTACTGATCATACTTTAAATGATAATTCCAGAAAGCATTTGGCTGCAGACCTGGCGGATACGTTCGTCCTCCCTGCAGCCGACATCAGTCGATTCAGAGCATCTTCTTTCTGGCTGTTGCCAGTTTCCAGTTTACTGATGATTAATTCATACAGCTCACGGTCAACACCTTTAGACGCAGGTGCGCATAATAGACATAAAAAGGGACAAGAGCTTGAAGGGAATTACCAGAGCATAAAGCAGCACTGATTTGGCTTAGAGAACAGGGCAGCAAGTTCTGTAGCTTCACACGCTAACCTGGAGGAGGACTGCTGGTTCGCCTGCTGCTGCTGGACATGCTTTCTTCTTCAGAACCAAAATAATCAAGGTCGAATGAGGAGCAGACTGTTAGCAACAGGAGAAATTGATTGGAAATGAGAATTGACGCTGTATTTTAAAGCAGACACTACAATCCTAAAAATGCTAGCTCTATAACAGGCAGTCAAAGCTTTATTAAAGTGCTCTTTATTTTGTTTACTACAGTCTCATCGTCTGCTGCTTCATCCAGGACCGGGTCGCGGAGGAAGCAGTCTCAGTAGAGACTCCCAGACTTCCCTCTCCACAAACACCTCCTCGAGGCGCTCCCAGACCAGCTGAGAGACATCGTCCCTCCAGGGTGTCATGGGCCTCCTCCCAGTGGGACGTGCGTGGAACACCTCCACAGATCAAGAGGCATCAGAAAAAGATCTCTGAACCACCTCAGCAGACTCCTTTTTATATGGAGGAGAAGCAGCTCTAGCCCAAGGCTTTCCTGAATGAATGAGCTCCTCACCCTTTCTCTAAGGGAGAGCCCAGCCACCCGGTGGAGGATGCTCATTTCAGCCGCTTGCATCCGGATCTCCTTCTTTCGTTCATGATCCAGATTTCATGACTATAGGTGAGGGTAGGAATTAGGGATGGGAATCGAAAACTGGTTCCTGTTCAGAACCGGTGTGTTCCAGTTCCATGGCACCGTTTGGCAGCTCGCTTGGCGATTCTAGGCAGCACCAGAGCCTAGCGGTGGGGAGCACGACTTACGTCACGTTTTTTTTACGCAAGTTACGCACACGGCATTCAGTAAGCAAGTACAACATAACCAGGTGTAAGTCTAGAAAAGCAAAACAAAAGCGCTCAAAGCGACCAAAAATTTGGCCTCATTTAAAGGAAGAGAAAGATGGTAACAATGTGTTTTCATTGCAAGAGTTGCAGAGTGGCATTGCAAAGTGGCAATTACATCTGCGGGAGGAAATACATCCAACATGCAGAAACACCTGTGCACACAACATGGCATACATTTTAACGAATGCCGTGTTTTTGATGGCTTCTGGACAGAAGCTAAAGTTACGACCAGCATGGAAGGCAAATCTGGTGGTAAGTAGCTGTGCTTCATGTGGTTCCTAGTAAATCAGATGCCATTTCTGGAAATAAACCAATTTCCTATCTCTCTTTGGGGTTATTAAACATGCTATGAAGTTGCTCCGCAGTTCAGGCAGTGAGAGAAAGGTGACGCTTGTTTATGTAAATCAGGGGGAGATGAGTTTATTTCCCGAAATTGTACAGTAATGCTTTTTCATTAAACGGATGCCTTCTCCATTAGATTTAGAAGACTGTGATGAGAGAAGTAGCCTGGCTGGCTCAGAGGCTGGCAGCTCCCGTTCATTGCCTTCTGTTTTCAACAAACCATTCAGATATAGAATGTCCCAGGCGAAGGTAGACGAATGTCAGTGTGCACTTGCCAAGTTCATTGTTTCACAGAATCAATGAGAGAATCGATAAGGAATCAAATTGTTTCACATAATCGATAAGGGAATTGGAATCGAGAAAATCTTATCAATTCCCAACCCTAGCAGGAATGTAGATTGACCGCAAATCAAGAGCTTTGCCTTTTGCTGAGCTCTCTCTTCACGACGACAGACCGGTGCATTTCCGCCTTAAAGCGGCGGCCGCACCGATCCATCAATTGATCTCTAGCTTCTTCCCTCACTCATGAACAGGACCCCAAGATACTTGAACTCCTCCACTTGAGGCAAGAACTCTCCTCCAACCTGAAGGGGACAAGTCACCTTTATACGATGCAAAACCATGGCATCGGACTCAAGGAGATGATTCTCATCCTGGCCTCTTTACACTCGGCTGCAAACCGCCCCAGTTAATGCTGCAGGTCTTGCCAGGAGAACCACGTCATCCACAAAAAGCAGGGATGCGAGCGCAGCCCTGGCACAGTCCAACATTCACCGACAACAGGTCAGACTTAGTGCCGGCATTGCTTCTAAAAGGAGTGACTCTCAGGGCGTAATGCTGCTCAAACGGGATACAGTCTATCTAAAAAAAAACAACATAATAATACCTTCATAAAACAACAATTACCAACACATTAAATAGATAAAAAGGAGCATTTCCAGAGAACAAAGCTGTCTAATTTTAAGCTATAGTGAAGGAGCAAGGAGAAGATAGGGCCGAACCAAACAAGGAGGATCAACTGATTTATTTCAGTATTTACAAGCATTTTCCCAACAGTATTAAGGGAAAGAGCTCAAGATGAGCAACAGAAACAAATAAGTTAAGTAAAAAACCTTCAGGTTATTAATAAACAGTTCAAGAAGTTAGGGGAGGAAAAGGTAGAAACAAGGTACAATTCATCAATAAAATGTTCTGCCTTATTTTTTTTTTAAGCAGAAACTGTTTTTATTGGTAATGAAAAAAATACAGAAAAACTATTTTATTTGAATGATTTTATTGCATACTGTCTTTAAAAAACAGAGCTGTAGAGCTTGTAAGACAGGTTTAAGTGCACAAATAATAATAAAAAGAATTAGAAAGAATAATAGAAAATAGAGCTGAATGACACAGCAGGTTTGTAAAACTTTATTTAAATTAATCATAATGTGGTTGAGGTTTATTTTGAGTAATGTTTTGTTTGCTGCCCTCTACAGGTAATAAGTGAATGAAGCAACTCGGTTTTATTGTTAGGGGGAAAAAAACTTTAATCTTCCCTTTAAACTAGCAATCTTCCGAATGCTAGTTTTTAAAGTGGTAGTTCTGACAGTCATTTAGTTTATGTTTTTTCTTACTTAGGGAGGAAACCTTTTATCAAATATGGATTTATATAAGATTAAGAATTCACCTTGCATTTTAGGAAACATGTTTTTGCAAATGATTTTTTATTAAACAAGTAGTTCTTCTTTGAAATACTTCAGTACTGTATTTTTCACTTTGTAGTTCTACAGCCAAAGATATTTAAGTATGATTTGAAGATAAAATACAATAAAGTTTGTAGTTTTAAATTTTTTTAAATTACCATGACAAGATAAACAAGTTAATTTTATCTCTTATCCTTTGCTGTGATTTTGTTTTCTTAAATTGAATGCAGTAAAAAATTTCCTGTTGTAGCAAAATTTAACAAGTAATTTAGCTCGCTGAGGTTTTTTTTAAACAAATAAGAAAAATTCTTATAACAAACTTTGAATTAAATTTACAGTTGCTTTTTTTATATCTGCTTCTGTGTCCTTGAACCCCAGTCGGCCTCGGCAAATGGCCGCTCACACTGAGCCTGGTTCTGCTGGAGGTTTCTTCCTGTTAAAAGGCAGTTTTTCCTCTCCACTGTCGCTACAAGCATGCTTAGTGTGAAGGATTGCTGAAGAGTCAATGAGTCAATGCAATCAACTGGTTTTCCTTAGATAGAAAATTCTGAATCAATTTGACTGCATGATCTGGTGAACTGTAAAGTGCCTTGAGATGATGTGTTGTGAATTGGCGCTATAGAAATAAACTGAATTGAATTACCTGATTTATTTATAGGTGTGGGGGAAAAAAATCGATTCAGTGGTATATTGTGATTTCTGGTCCCCGATATAATATCGATCTTTCAGTTCCTAGCATTGATTTAAAAAAAAACAAAAAACATTTTTACCTAAAACGAGCCCTTTTGCTGTGCGGCACAGCTCCATATCTGTAGTTGAGGCAGTCACAGTGGAAGACGTGGACTGATTCAAACGCCAAAATACAACTAAATGACCAATACCTTTTGATGAACAGATACAGCACTTATTTTTTTATCTATATTTTGTTAGCTGGGAAAAATACTGCAAAATATAGTGATATTGCAATATTGTGATATCGTATCGTGAACCAAATATCGAGACATGCATCGTATTACAACACCCAGGCCAATACTCACCCCTATTCATTTATTTATTTAGAATAACCTCCCAACATCAAAATATACCTAAACCATGGTAGTGTAGTTTGGGATCATTACAAGCATCAGAGTTTATGTTTGTCTTGGATTTTTAGGTTTTTAAAACTAAGTTATAATTAAAAAAAAAAAGCATCATATAACTTTGAAACTGTCACATTTTTTTTACCTTTTTCCCCCCAAACCTGCAGAAGTTTAATTTAAAGAAATCTTAATTATCAAACATTCCTGAGCAAAAATGCACAATGGATCATGAGAGCCATGATGGATAAAGAAATAAGAAACCGACCAGCCACAAAGGAATTAATTTCCCCCTTTTAATCGTTAAATCAGAAATTAAAGATTCCTTTCACATTTTCAAAGACGAAAGCTTAATATATTCTGATGTTGAAAAAGTTGTATATTTGCAAGAAAAAAAAGATAATTTTCTTTTACTGAATACTTAAAATTACAAAGTAAACCACTAATATAGACTTCTCCGACTGTATTAGTAGAACATCTGTATATTTTCCAAATTGTAATCTGAAGATCTGGGGCTTTTTTTCAGGACAGAAGGACGTGTACCGGCATGGAAAACTGAAACAGGAGAGGAGGCTGGAACACGGATGTGTGGAGGCTGCCCCCCGGATGACATCGCTCTGACACGTGAAAGGAGCTCATCACCTTAACATCATGCCCGCCTTTAAAGTGTCAGTGATAATCCTGCTTCAAATATCAGGAATTCATGCCTTAAATCCTGAAACACTATGATTTTCTTCTTACAAATGTAAACTTTTTTGAAACCTGAAAATATTACAGCGTCTTCTTGTAAACCTGTGAAATAAACCTTAAAATGTCTGATTTTATTTCTGGAACTTTACCAATTTTTAAAATCTGCAATGGCCCTGATAGTCTGCCATGAAGATAAGCAGACAACCTGAGCTGATGAGTATTCATTCTCTAATTTTATCTGTAAAAAACCAGTAAGTTCTAGTAAGGAAAAGAAGAAAAATGAAATAAACACACAGATGATTTCAAAGATAAACCAAGTAAAAAATGTCCAATAAAGGTGAAAAGTCATGCAGCAGACAGATGCTAACCAGTAATACAGGATCAAACAGCTGGATTCAGCTAACCCTGAACCATATAAGGTGTTACCACTTTAGATGGCACTGATAAATACTGAGATAAATGATCCAAACGGTGAAAGGAATTCAAAGATGGAGGCAGCTCAGTGTTTCCTCTGCTAGTTGAGAGCAACATGATCTCAGCGCAGTGAAGGAGAGAAAACCAGAGCAGGACCAGGAGAGAAGCAGGGCATGCTCTGGAGGAAGGGAGACTCTTTTTGGCTTTCTAGCGGCAGCCATCGGGTGCGGCTGGTAAACTACTAGGGGTGAGGGGCTCGGCAAGGGGACGTACCCTCCTGGGAGCCGCTAAGGCCTCTGCTGCTCCAGTCCGGCGTCTTCGAAGGAAGCTCCTGATCAGACGGAGATTTCACGATATTCATATCAGTGTTTCAGCTTTTGGTGTGTTCAGCTTTGTGTTGGATTGAAAGACACTACCTGAGCTGAGCATATCGGGGATTTCTGTGTTTCCTCGGGAGCGGAGGGTGCAGTGAGCGCCACGCGTCTTGGAGAGCAGACGGCTGGCGGAGAGTCTTTGGTTGGATCCAGCATTCCCTGATCAAATATTAAGAGAGGAAATTGACATTTTTAAACACAATAGAGGCAGCGGTGGGCGAAAGTGTCTAGATTATCTTCCTGAACTCACCAATGAGGAGGCATAAGCTGGCACAGCCACAGTTTGCTTCTTTGTACCGATAAAAACCTTTCACAACAAAAACAGAACGTCCTCATTAACTCCCATCGGCTCGGCTGGATCTGAATACAAACCTTCCTGATGCAAACTCACGATGTTCCGAGGGTCCACGCCAAGGCACCTGAGCAGAGTCGTGTTACTGTGGGAACCCCCCCACTTAAACTGGAGGCTGAGTGAGGCGTGGATGTCCTCATGTGGACTTAACATCAACTGCTGAATCCTGGATGGAGTTTGAAGAAACACACAATGCAACTCAGTTTATATTTTTATTTGGACACTCTGATTTATGAAATGCACGCCCAGTTTATCACTAATTAAACCCGGATCAGACAGCAAAATCATCTCCAAATTATATAAGGCCATACAGCTGTCTAAACAAGAGAATACAGAATACATAAAGAGGAAGTGGGAAAAATAAATTAAGGTTAAAATCTCACAAGAGAGCTGGGAGGAAATTTGTCAATTGCAGTGGGTCTCGACCAGATCAAACACATGGCAGGAGTTCTGCTGGAAAAACATTGTACGATTTTTTGTTACACCCACTCAGAAACGATATCAAAACAATGGGGACGCCTGCTGGAGACTCTGTGGATCTGAAGTAGCTAACCGCTTTCACATTTTTTGGGACTGTCAGGTAATAAAACCATATTGGAAAGAGTTCCACAAGCATATTGAAAATATATTCAATGTAGGTATTCCATTAAAATATGAAACATTGTATCTGGGCAATCTACAATTGGACACATGGACTAACAAAGACAAAAAACTGCTGGCTACACTACTGGCTGCCAGTAAGAAGGCCATCACAAGGAAATGGATGAAACCAGACCCCCCCACTATTGATGAATGGATTGAAATTGTTTACCAGATTTATGTGATGGAAAAGATCTGTTTTTCCCTCCAATTAGAAAAAGAAAAATTTTATAAGATTTGGTCCAAATGGACTGAGTACGTGAAACCAATTAGATTCGACTTCATTTGATTGTTCTTCTGAAATATGTTTTGCCCTCTTATGTCTTACTCAAGGTGGTGCAATCCCCATTACTGTTTAATTCTGTTCATTTTTGTTATCTTTACAATTAAGTTAGTGATATTATGTTAAAAATACCAGAAAGGCAACATGGACAAAATCACTTGAACTTTCTGCTTATAACTTCAGTTATAATCTTAAATGGATGAAGCTGTGATTACTGATGTAATGGAAATCTGTCTTTCGAAATAACAAAAAATAAAAGAATGCACGCCCAGCGCTCTGCTGGCAAGTCCAGATTTAATCAATAAGTATAGTGTGAGGCAACAGAGACTAAAAATCCAAACTCCAAGTAAAATGAGGCACATTAAGTACCTTTGAAACAAGTTTGGACGATAAAACCAGGAGAAAATCCCTGCAAATAACAGTCTGTCCTTACCGGGCAATTAAACCTAGACAAAAAACATTACTTTCCCTAAAAAAATCATGACTGAAAGTGTTTTGCTAAAACCTGGTTTCCGACATCCAAGTGAGAATCGGAGAGAATCTCAGTTTTCCACATAAACCAGACCATCATTTAGTTTAGGAACAGAAGTTACACCGTTTACTTCAGCTCCAGGATTGTCTATGTGATGGGACGCCGCGAACCAATGCTCTGTTTCCCTGTTCGCTGTTTCTCAGCTAACGGGGCAATAAGGGTTTCATTTTGCAAAGTTGATATACCAGATACAGAACTCTGCAGCTCCTCCAGAGTTACCATGTCTGCTTCTGTGGTTAAGCCTATGCCTGCGGAGCTCATCAGGTTACACTGCAAATAATTTAAATCAAATCACTTATTCTTAAAATAAGTGCATTTTTTATTGAGGAGTTAAGTAAGTCTTTGTCAATGGAACAAGACAATTTACATTTAAAATAAGAAAAACAATTGCATTGTTTTATTTCAAGTGCATATTATATAATTATCTTATTCTAAGAGTGAAACCAATCATTCTATTGGCAAATCATCTTATTTACTTTCTTAAATTAAGGTTAAATACACTTAATTTAATAAATCTTTACTTTTTTCCATATTGTTTTTGCAGAGTAGATAGGCGGTGTCCTGACAGGCTTTAAGATGAACCTTACTGGTTTTTTGGGGCTCAATCAACAAAACGTGACCTCAAGGCATGGCTGCTGATCAATCGTCCGGCTGACGTATGGGTTTATCTCTAATGTAGAATTGATTGATTGATTTTATTGATCTTCCAATGGAGAAATGTACGTGTTACATTGGCTCAATGGTCAAAAAGAAGAATAAAGTGGTCACACATTATACAGGGTTATTGCAAAGGGTATTAAAGTGGGTATTTATATATATAATTATTGCACTGGGTATTAAATATAAAAAACTGGTTATTGCACAGGGTATAAAATAGTAATTGCAGATTAGATATTGCCTCAAGTTATTGCTGTTGTAGTGTCGCATTATATAGTCTGGTTACAGCAGGGGTGAATGACCTGTGGTAGCGCTCCTTTTTACAAACAGGCTGTAAAGGTCTGTCACTAAAGGAGCTGCTCAGCTCCTCTACATTCTGGTGCAGAGGGTGGAAGGTGTTGTCTATGATGGATGTAAGAAATTAGAAACAATCAGATTTTATTTATTGGGTTTTATTTGTTTGAATTCATAATAAATCACCTGTATATTAATCCTAGTGGCCATGAGTGTTAATAAATCTCAGCTGATCACCTCAGAGATGGGCGGAGTTCTGGCGTCCCCTCCTCCGTCTCTGCACAGTGCTGGACGTGAAGCAAAGCACCAAGGTTGGGCAGGTCCTCCTCAGCTTCCACAACCGGGACAAATACCTCTGGGAAACTGGACCGGAGGAGCCGCTGGAAACTGCAGGATGCTGAAGCCTGACCATGGAGAGAGAGACAGAAAAAAGAGGAGTGTTAATTAAAGATAACAGAGACCGGATCAGAGTTACGGAACTGTTTTCTACCTGACATCTCTCCATTCTTGTTTCACCGTCCTGTTCCGACTCCTCCTCTGGCTCTCTAAGCTGTGTCCGCATCTCCTCCGTAAAGTTGGCCCACGACGGCCCATCTTCATCGTCCCGCCCAGGGGCTGAGCAGAAATCTGCAAAGCTGTCACTTGGAGGAAGGCTTCCCAGACTCCGCACTCCTGTATCGGCTGTCTCAACAGGTTCCCTGTGACGCTCCATGTTAACGTCTGCAGAGTCTGCACACTTGTCTTGAGAGTGAGTACCAGAGTGTTGCTGGCAGGAGGTAGCAGAGGTTCCCTGAGTCGCATTGCAGTGAGGAGCGTCCGTCTTTGCCGTGCTGCTGTTGATGAGACAGACCTCCACTACTTCCGTCTCATAATCAGTCTGGCCATTTTGAGACATGAGGGATAAAACATTTGGCTCCAGGTCTGCTGAGTCCCCCTCCAACGACGGGCCGTCATGGCAGGGGGCCCGTATATTTGCTTCATCTTCCTGAGACTGACAGTGGTTTTGAACTGCTGCATTTCTGTCACAGTGCTTCCTCTCAACGCGGACCCCTCTGTTTGCCTTGGGTACATGCTGAGATCTAGGCTCCGTAATAACTTCCCGACTCGAATCGCAGTCCTGCTCTTCCACTTTTCCATCCCACTCCTCTGTGAAGCCGCAACACCAGGGGTGTCCCACCTGCTCCGCGAAGAAAGTAAAATCAGCGAAGCCCGTTTCCCCCAAAGAAGAGCTCGCTATAGAGCTACCAAAGGTCTCAGAGAGACGATCTTCTCCAGTATGTAAATTAGATTCAGAGTCGTGGTTCCTGGACTCCTCAGAGGGAGGGCGGTGCGTTTCTTCAGCAGGGTTAGGCAGAGCGGTGGATGGCTTTTCCATGGGAGAGGTCTGTCTGAAAAAGGAAGTCGGTTCTGTTTGGCCGGCGTGAACGATTGTCGCGCAAACCCCCCCTGTAGAGAAATCCCCAAACTCCTCCTCCTCCGATCCTCCATCCAGAGGAGGGGGGGTGTAGGAGGGCAAGGGGATCACGTCAGGCTCCATGGGTTTTTCTAGCAGGACCCAAAGGCCTCATGCGCCTGTCAGAAAAAGTAAGAAAAAACAAAAATTATGAACCATTTAAATGTCATAGCTTCTTCTTTTAAACACAAAATTATTAATTACAATAAACTTTTAGAGTTTAGCAAAATAAAAGGAATACTTTTACAGAATAAAATAGAACTATGGTATATTAATAATTGCTTTATACATTTCGATGCGTCCAAAATGAATAAATATTTACTTCTGGTTGTGATGCCAACATCGAAGCAAAAGGAAGTGAGATGGAGCTCCAGCGTTGTCAAATACTAGCCACTCCATGACCAACCTTAGACATGGCCTACTCTTAGCAATTTTATTTCTCAGATTAAACTTAAAAAAAAAAAAAAAAGCTTCTGAGCACTGGTATCGACTTAAGGAAGTGATCATCAAATTTATTATTAAAGATCAATTGAGGAGTGACGCCTGGCGCATAGAGGGCGCTAGGTTGCCACCCCACTCACCCAATGACCAATATTAAGACATAAAAAACAAATAAAAATGTAATTGTAAAATTTTAATATTTAAGAATATATTTATTAGATGTTCAAAATAAATGTTTAATGACGACTAAAGCTGTTTTAATTTTCGGATTGGTGACGTATTTACATTATTTAGCAACAAAGCTTGGCTAACTGCATGCAGCGAAGCTAATGCTTTTTTTATTATGCTTTCCGTGCCTCTTTTTTCAGACGTCAGGATCTGATCCAGCATGGATAAAGACAGATAGGACTGGTTTATTAATTCAATTCAATTCAGTTTATTTCTATAGCGCCAATTCACAACACATGTCATCTCAAGGCACTTCACAGTTCACCAGATTATACAGTCAAATTGATTCAAAGTTTTATATCTAAGGAAAACCAGTTGATTGCATCGACTCATTGACTCAAATGCAAGCAAATTTATTAGAAAACTTTATTACATTATTTTAGGGCTGCAACAACGAATCGATAAAATCGATAAAAATCGACTTTTAAAAGCGTTGGCAACGAATTTCATCATCGATTAGTTGGTTCGCGCAATTAATGCGTCATCCGCCGCCGTCGTCATCACATCCACTTGACTGAAACGGGGGAAGAAAAAACAAAACACATGGCAGAGAGAGCCAGCGCCGCAGGTGCAGTGTTGCCAACTCAGCGACTTTGTCGCTATATTTAGCGACAAATCTGGCGACTTTTTACGGTGTCACTGGCGGCTTTTGGAGACTCTTAAGTGAGAGCATGTATCGTTCCTACTCCTGTCCCCCTTCCCAACCCCGTTCTCCCACAGGAGTCCCTCTCAGCGCTGCAGTCAGAGCCGCAGGATGTTTACCCTCAGCGTCCAGACTGCAAATGAAGCGCGCATGCGCCGGGATTGACGGCGCATGCGCGCTTCGTAACATGCAACTTTTGTAAAAACAAATTAACATGGCACGGAAGCACCACTATTATTATGCAGCACCTGAAAAGAAAACACGTTGGAGCCTTCGATGGCAGTGAAGAGAGCTGATCAGTAGGGTGAGCGACCATGTTTGTTTCGTTTTAAAGTGGGGAAAACGTAAGGTTAGTTTCTCAGGTAGCTCATCTGATGCTTTCCTTACCTTGTTAGTAGGTTACAGACAGTGATAAGGTTGGCTAATCGTTAGTTGCAGCCCTACATTATTTTTTGTCGTTGGCATTCATTCAAATAGATCGGTGTGATAAATTAGTATACGTATGATTGGTTTTTGGTATATGTCTATTTTGAAGTTATAGCTCCCCCTGGAGAAAACTCCACCAGCCGCCACTGCAATTCAGATAACCAACGATTGATTTTTAAAAATCTTAGAGATGCCATTAACTACTAGCCTGATAAACCAGACTAAATGTTAGACTAAATGTGTAATTTAGTCTGGCCCCGATAAATGAGAATCGGAATATTGTTGATGAGAACAACCCGTTGTTTTTCAAACCATGTCTGTGCCTATTGGCCAATGCTCTGACCAATGAGAGCAACTGACTGTGACGTAGTAAGCGCGACAGAAAGCTGGTGGTGGAGTGTAAACAAACAGCCTATCGGTAAAACAGCGAATATGTCCTTCTTAAAAATGAATGATCGTAGAGCCTCTTCCTGCTCATGTTTCAATGAAAAACCCAAGTCTAATCATTTCAAAACTGATTCCAAAGCTGAGTAAAACGAGAACTGTTCAATAGTTGTTGCCCTCTTCCTTGTTGTGCTTTCTCCAGCATCTCGCAGCTTTGTTGTCACGCCCTCAAAACCCCGCCTGCTATCCAAAAGTTCAAAACTCATCTCTGCGTTGTGATTGGCCTGCCGGTTCTAGGGCCTGGGGCATTGATCGAGTTTAGTCCAACTCGCAGGCAAAAATGATTTTGGCCGCTGGCGGACGGGGCTAGTTTACTAGGCTAATTAACTACCATCACATGTTTAAAGGCGGTATAAAATATAACGCACAACCAACCAGAATAAACTAAAGGACCTGAAACTGAAAATATAGCCAGTAACGAAACAACATTTAAAGGGAAAGTGAGTAACAAATCTGGCTTTTAATTAGCAAAAATTAAGTACTGCTTTAATACATAAATTTTCTGTAAATGTCTAATAACATCAAATAAAAAAAGAGTTCTCAGAGCTTAGATTTAGTAGTTTATAAATACAAGGGAAGGGGTGCATCCAATGGGAGACGCCATGTTGTGCGGCGCTATTTTTGATCAGAGTAGCTGAAAGGATACAAACAGCTGGAGACAATTTATAAATATTTTTCTGAACAGGTCATTAAATAATATAATAGTAAGGTTTATTTTTGTGCTATGTTGGAAACAGGCCAATGCAGTCCAGCAACTAGTCTGCCCCCCCATCAGATACTACTAGTTTGTTTGTTAACCTTCAGACGAGCGCTTTCAGACTGCTGTTATTCTTCGCAGAAGAAGTCCTGTTTTCAGAGAAATGTTTCACGTGTTTCTAGAGCTGGACTAACAATTATTTTGCTAATCGATTAATAGATTTTTTTTTTCATAAATCGATTAATAATCAGAGAGCCCAATGTTCTTTAAAGAAGACATTGTACAAAGTTAAATCAGGTAAAACTAAAACTTTTCCACTTGAGGAGTCCTGGATGGAGCATATTGACAGATGAAAAAGTTTTATTTATTTATTTTGGTTTAAAAAAAACTGGGGCGAGTGGGTCTCTCTGTCAGCTAAAGGCAAGTTTTAGAGACTCTATACTCCAGTTTACAATTAATCGATTACTGAATTAGCTGACAATAAATAATCAATTAATGCAAGTAATTGTTTCAGGCCTATGTTTTTTATTGTTTATTTTAACTGATTTGAAAAGTTTGAAGGAGGTAGATATGTTTCCTCCATCCGGAAAGAGTAGAATGTCCCTCCTCAGTTTCCGTAGTAGGTCTCACACAGCAGCAGCGGATAAGGCTTCACAGCACAACAGAAATCTGTCCAGGCTGTCAGATAAGATCCAGTTCAGCGACTGCGACATGTAAAGCCTGGAAAATAACCTCCACCAAACAAATCGGCGTGTTTGTGATTTAAACAGCAACCTCTAGACAAGAGGGCAGGACACAAACAGTTAACCCTGAAGGTATAACCTTTCCCTTTGTTTTATTTTATAAAAACATTTCAAACCAAAACATTGATTTTAACTCCTGTGCTCCCTTGAGTTTGTTTTTTTCATAGTTTATTTACTCAAAATCAGAGATGGGTATTAATTAGTTACATTTACTTGAGTAACAATAAAAAAAAAAAAATACTTTTAGTACTTTTACTCTGCCGTACTTCTTAACTTTAACTTAAGTAATATACTTGTAAATATGATAGTGAAGATTCTGAGTTATTCCAAAACAGTCCAAGTTTGAAGGCGTTTTGCTTCCCATCCAGGAAGCTTTTTCAATTCAAATAGCAGAAATAGTGTTGAGTTTTAACTACTGCGTAATCTGAGTAATTTCAACAAATCCAAGATTAAGATAAAAGAAAGACAAAAGTATTTATTTTGCACAAATGTGCTTTTTATACTTATGATATTTATTTAAATTCTTTAGGCATTTGAGGCTTTAAAATACCAGAATCTGAACATAAAGTCTGTTAGTCAGCATCATTTCTAAACAGTAAATCAGATGTCATTATCCAACTATTAGACAGTACCTAATTAGCCTTTTTACCAAATACTTTTTTTTTACTTTTACTTGAGTAATTTCAAGGATTAATACTTTTTACTTTTACTTGAGTAATTTCCTGAATAAATACTTTATACTTTTACTCAAGTAATTCCTTGGATAACTACTTTTTACTATTACTCTAGTAATTTCTTGGGTAACTAATTTTTACTTTTACTCTAGTAATTTCTTGGGTAACTACTTTTACTATTACTTGAGTAATTCCTCAGATAACTACTTTGTACTTTTACTCAAGTAATTTCTTGGGTAACTACTTTGTACTTTTACTGGAGTAATTTCTCGGATAGCTACTTTTTACTTTTACTCGAGTAATTTCTTGGGTAACTACTTTTACTATTACTTGAGTAATTCCTCAGATAACTACTTTTTACTTTTACTCGAGTAATTTCGCTGATAAATACTTTGTACTTTTACTCAAGTAATTTCTTGGGTAACTACTTTGTACTTTTACTGGAGTAATTTCTTGGGTAACTACTTTTACTATTACTTGAGTAATTCCTCAGATAACTACTTTTTACTTTTACTCGAGTAATTTCGCTGATAAATACTTTGTACTTTTACTCAAGTAATTTCTTGGGTAACTACTTTGTACTTTTACTGGAGTAATTTCTTGGGTAACTACTTTTACTATTACTTGAGTAATTCCTCAGATAACTACTTTTTACTTTTACTCGAGTAATTTCGCTGATAAATACTTTGTACTTTTACTCTAGTAATTTCTCTGATAAATACTTTGTACTTTTACTCTAGTAATTTCTCTGATAAATACTTTGTACTTTTACTCTAGTAATTTCTTGGGTAACTACTTTTACTATTACTTGAGTAATTCCTCAGATAACTACTTTCTACTTTTACTCTAGTAATTTCTCTGATAAATACTTTGTACTTTTACACTAGTAATTTCTTGGGTAACTACTTTGTACTTTTACTGGAGTAATTTCTCGGATAGCTACTTTTTACTTTTACTCGAGTAATTTCTTGGGTAACTACTTTTACTATTACTTGAGTAATTCCTCAGATAACTACTTTTTACTTTTACTCGAGTAATTTCGCTGATAAATACTTTGTACTTTTACTCTAGTAATTTCTCTGATAAATACTTTGTACTTTTACTCTAGTAATTTCTTGGGTAACTACTTTTACTATTACTTGAGTAATTCCTCAGATAACTACTTTCTACTTTTACTCTAGTAATTTCTCTGATAAATACTTTGTACTTTTACACTAGTAATTTCTTGGGTAAATAATTTTTACTTTTACTCAAGTAATTCCTTGGATAACTACGTTTTACTTTTACTCGAGTATTTTCTTGGGTAACTACTTTTACTATTACTTGAGTAATTCCTCAGATAACTACTTTGTACTTTTACTCAAGTAATTTCTTGGGTAACTACTTTGTACTTTTACTCTAGTAATTTCTTGGGTAAATAATTTTTACTTTTACTCAAGTAATTCCTTGGATAACTACGTTTTACTTTTACTCGAGTATTTTCTTGGGTAACTACTTTTTACTATTACTCTAGTAATTTCTTGGGTAACTACTTTTACTATTACTTGAGTAATTCCTCAGATAACTACTTTCTACTTTTACTCTAGTAATTTCTCTGATAAATACTTTGTACTTTTACACTAGTAATTTCTTGGGTAAATAATTTTTACTTTTACTCAAGCAATTCCTTGGATAACTACTTTTTACTTTTACTCGAGTATTTTCTTGGGTAACTACTTTTACTATTACTTGAGTAATTCCTCAGATAACTACTTTGTACTTTTACTCAAGTAATTTCTTGGGTAACTACTTTGTACTTTTACTCTAGTAATTTCTTGGGTAAATAATTTTTACTTTTACTCAAGTAATTCCTTGGATAACTACGTTTTACTTTTACTCGAGTATTTTCTTGGGTAACTACTTTTTACTATTACTCTAGTAATTTCTTGGGTAACTACTTTTACTATTACTTGAGTAATTCCTCAGATAACTACTTTCTACTTTTACTCTAGTAATTTCTCTGATAAATACTTTGTACTTTTACACTAGTAATTTCTTGGGTAAATAATTTTTACTTTTACTCAAGCAATTCCTTGGATAACTACTTTTTACTTTTACTCGAGTATTTTCTTGGGTAACTACTTTTACTATTACTTGAGTAATTCCTCAGATAACTACTTTTTACTTTTACTCTAGTAATTTCTCTGATAAATACTTTGTACTTTTACTCGAGTAATTTCTTGGATAACTACTTTGTACTATTACTCTAGTAATTTCTTGGATGACTAATTTTTACTTTTACTCTAGTAATTTCTTGGGTAACTACTTTTACTATTACTTGAGTAATTCCTCAGATAGCTACTTTTTACTTTCACTCTAGTAATTTCTCTGATAAATACTTTGTACTTTGACTCAAGTTATTTCCTGGGTAACTACTTTGTACTTTTACTGGAGTAATTTCTCGGATAGCTACTTTTTACTTTTACTCGAGTAATTTCTTGGGTAACTACTTTTACTATTACTTGAGTAATTCCTCAGATAACTACTTTTTACTTTTGCTCTAGTAATTTCTCTGATAAATACTTTGTACTTTTACTCAAGAAATTTCTTGGATAACTACTTTGTACTTTTACTCTAGTCATTTCTGGGGTAAATACTTTTTACCATTACTTGAGTAATTCCTCAGATAACTACTTTTTACATTTTCTCTAGTAATTTCTTGGATGACTACTTTTTACTCTTATTTGAGTAAAAAGTGTTAAATTAGTGCTTCTCTTACTTCAGTACAATATCTGGGTACTCTACCCACCTCTGTTCAAAACATTTACAAGTCAAATCCAGTCCCAGCAGCTGTACATATTCATGAAGGTTTTATCTCTAAACTCTCTGATGCTTGATGTTTTGGGGAAGTTGCCTCCCTGTGTTTTCCTTATAGTCGCGTGCCTTTAAAATAAAATAAAGAAAGAAAGAAGTGATGTCTGAGCCTTTAGTTGAATCTGTGGAAAAACAGGCCAGGATTGTCCTGCCTCAGTAAACCGATACAGGAAAGATAATCCGCCTCACAGCTCAGCAGGAATAGATTAAAGGCTTTATTTTACTGTCCTTTCATTGAACAAAACTGGCCTGTTCACCTTGTTTTAATGATATATTTCATCCCTTATTGCTGTGATAACAGCCTGTTTCTCTAGGTTTGTTCAACAGAAAAAACAAACACTATTGTCCTTTTCTCCAGTCTTCATGCTGGATTAACAGACAGGTGGGAAGAACAGACACTAAAATTATAAAGACATTATGAGAAAACCAACATAATAGAGTAAAAATAAAAGAGGAGAGTATTAAAGCGACCTAACGATGACGGTTTATTGTTCTAAACAGAAAGCTGATCCCATTAGCTCATTATTATTGTTACCATCGCAGATTAGCTAGCTTTCCCACCAAAAGCCGGTTTATGTTGTCATTTATTAAAAGCTGCATTATTATTGAATCTTATGTATCCACAACCAACTAAAAGTTATTAAGTAGACATTTCAATGTCAGCAGCAACAATTAATTTTGCTTGCCTGTCAGTTTCGCAGTTCCGCTCCCCCATCACCTCCTTTAGCTTCAGTCTGTATGGGAATGAGGTAGAACGTCGGTAACAAGAAGAGCTCTCACTCTGCGTTACATTTGAGCTGATCTTTGCAGTGAGACAAAAAGCAGGAACGGAAGCAGTCAGGGTTGATTTGTTTTTGGTTTTTTTGTACCTGGCTAATAGTACTTAGAACCTCGATAAGTTTAGCTCGCAATATTTGGGAATAAAATACAAATAAGAATCAGAGGCAATCTTTTGATGTACAGAATCATACATTCGAATTGTAGTGTTACCTCTTGAAAATATACAATCTATGTCCAAGCGTACAGATTGCAATACCACCTCCTTCTGGCACAATTCGGTACTGCATATCATTTTTTATCAGCCAGCCCAATTCTGCTGGTTTACAGCGATGGATAAAAAATAAAAAACATATCCAAGCTTTGATATGTTTTTCTAATTCTTTAATTGAATTATTTTTTAAATACAATTTTTAATATTTTTTATTACAAAAAGTTAGATTATTAGTATAACTGTTACTGTTTTTCATCACAATGTGTTTTTTTTTTTTTTATCACTGCTGCTTACCTTAAAAATGAAATTGTCCAGAGAGCTGTTAACGAAATTTCTTTTTGTTTACTATTTTGTATACAAAATGTCTAAAAGAAGGATTTGTAGCACACTGTTGATTTTTCAACTTTTCAAACTTGGACAACTTTTGTTTTTTGTCATTTTGTTCAGCTTTCATGACATTTCCAATTCTTGAAATGCAGCCGTGATCAAATGTACAGGTGCTGGTCATAAAATTAGAATATCATGAAAAAGTAGATTGATTTCAGTAATTCCATTTAAAAAGTGAAACTTGTATATTATATTCATACATTACATAAAAACTCATATATTTCAGATGTTTATTTTGTTTAATTTTGATGATTACAAATGACAACAAATGAAAATCTCAAATTCATCATATCAGAAAATTAGAATATTGTGAAAAGGTTCAAAATTGATGGCCCCTGGTGCCACACTCTAATCAGCTAATTAACTCAAACCACCTGCAAAAGCCTTTAAATGGTCTTTCAGTCTAGTTCTATAGGCTACACAATCATGGGGAAGACTGCTGACTTGACAGTTGTCCAAAAGACGACCATCGACACCTTGCACAAGGAGGGCAAGACACAAAAGGTCATCGCTAAAGAGGCTGGCTGTTCACAGAGCTCAGTGTCCAAGCACATTAATAGAGAGGCGAAGGGAAGGAAAAGATGTGGTCGAAAAAAGTTTACAAGCAAGAGAGATAACCGCACCCTGGAGAGGATTGTGAAACAAAACCCATTCAAAAATGTGGGGGAGATTCACAAAGAGTGGACTGCAGCTGGAGTGAGTGCTTCAAGAACCACCACACACAGACATAAGAAAGACATGGGTTTCTGCTGTCGCATTCCTTGTGTCAAGCCACTCTTGAACCACAGACAGCGTCAGAAGCGTCTTGCCTGGGCTAAAGAGAAACAGGACTGGACTGCTGGTGAGTGGTCCAAAGTCATGTTCTCTGATGAAAGTAAATTTTGCATTTCCTTTGGAAATCAAGGTCCCAGAGTCTGGAGGAAAAGAAGAGAGGCACTTCATCCACGTTGCTTGAAGTCCAGTGTAAAGTTTCCACAGTCAGTGATGGTTTGGGGTGCCATGTCATCTGCTGGTGTTGGTCCATTGTGTTTTCTGAGGTCCAGGGTCAACGCAGCCACATACCAGGAAGTTTTAGAGCACTTCATGCTTCCTGCAGCTGACCAACTTTTTGGAGATGCAGATTTCATTTTCCAACAGGACTTGGCACCTGCACACAGTGCCAAAGCTACCAGTACCTGGTTGAAGGACCATGGTATCCCTGTTCTTAATTGGCCAGCAAACTCTCCTGACCTTAACCCCATAGAAAATCTATGGGGTATTGTGAAGAAGAAGATGCAATACACCAGACCCAACAATTCAGAAGAGCTAAAAGCCACTATTAGAGCAACCTGGGCTATCATAACACCTGAGCAGTGCCACAGACTGATCGACTCCATGCCACGCCGCATTGCTGCAGTAATACAGGCCAAAGGAGGCCCAACTAAATACTGAGTGCTGTACATGCTCATACTTTTCATGTTCATACTTTTCAGTTGGCCAACATTTCTATAAATCCTTTGTTTTTATTGGTCTTCAGTAATATTCTAATTTTCTGATATGATGAATTTGAGATTTTCATTTGTTGTCATTTGTAATCATCAAAATTAAACAAAATAAACATCTGAAATATATGAGTTTGTATGTAATGTATGAATATAATATACAAGTTTCACTTTTTAAATGGAATTACTGAAATCAATCTACTTTTTCATGATATTCTAATTTTATGACCAGCACCTGTAAACAGTGTGGGAGAAAAAAACCTTACACAAGAAAAAAAAAAATAAATAAATAAAAAAAGCACTGATATGGAAGTCCGGAACATAATATATATATGATACAATTACGCAGTGTTTTGGTTTGGTGTTATCAGAGTGATGCAGAGTGAAAGAGTGATATGATTTCGAGTTTTTCAACAGTCTGATGGCAGTGGGGAAGAAGCTGTTTCAAAATCCGCTGGACCTGTATCATACAGAAAGTAAAATAGCAAGCTACAATTGCTTTAGTTATGCAAGTAGTAGGCCTACACAAATGTGTGTGTGTATATATATATATATATATATATATATATATATACACACACATTCACACACACATATAATTGTAATAAACAGCTCAGGAGACGTGTTTTTTGTGATTCATTCTTAGTTTAATCACAGATATATGGAATAAAAGGGCCCAAAAGACACTATATGTAAACCTTTACAAGCTTTTTAGGGGTACAAAAACAAATCACAATTTTTATTCACAATTCTCTATATTTTCTACATTTTACAAGTAAAATAAACACTCTGTACCACTGGGGTGATGGGTTTAGTGCAGAATGTGAATTTCGTCATGCTATACTTGTGACAGTGTAAAAAAAAATGCTGGGAAAAAAAAAAGACTAAGAAAACATCTGCACAAGAGCCCGTGATTTTCTGGCTTCATGAATCTTCATGTGCATATTGAGGTCTGGAATGGAGCGAAATTTTTTGCCACATTGGAAGCAGCGGAATTTCTTCTCCCTGCTGTTGTTCTTGGTATACGAGGCATGACTGGAGCATGTCTTCAGGTGGTAGGAGTGTGCCACCATTTTGCCACAGTTGTCGCAGAAGTACGGCTTCTCGCCCGTGTGTTTCCTCATGTGAACTCTGAGGTTTGAAGTCTGGGTGAAGGTCTTCTGACAGAAGGGGCACCTGTGCGGCTTCTCACCTGTGTGAACCCTCAAATGCAAAGCCAGGCTATCTCTACGAGCAAACTCCTTGTGGCATTCGAAGCATTTAAAGGCCTTGTGTCCAGTGTGGACCTCCTCCATGTGCCTGATCAAAGCCGAGTCCCTGATGAAGAACTTGGCACAGATACGGCAGGACTTGTTATCGAGGGCTATTTCCTGCTGCAAATAAGTAATTTCACTGGGATTTGGGTCAAAATAAGACAAATCTGGCCCAACATCATTAGTCCATTCATTATGGACGTCATCATTGTTTGTTGTCTCAGTTATGGAGCTGACACTGGGTAACACCTGGGGCTCCGTTTGAACTGTTGTCTCTGATCCAGCAGGAAAAACTTTGACATCCTGTGGAGAATCCTGGTGTGGGTTGATGCAGACATCCAGCTGCTCTTCTTTGACCCTATGATGCTCCCGACTTTCCTTTTGTTCTTCAGCTGGAGGCTGACTTTGATTGCCAGCCAGTGATTGCACGTCTATAGAAGAGAAAATACACTAAATTAGCGCCAATCTCAAGAGCAAACTATTCAGAGATACAATTAATAACTGTTTAAGTACTATTACGGATGATAGAAGTTCATAAAGTTCATCTAATTCAACCCAAACCAACGGATCATCTCAGATGTAGCACATTGAGCTGCATGGCAAGACCACGGTTACTTAGCAACAGCTGCTTTGACAGCATCGCCACCAACCTTCTTTGAACAAAGACACTCGGGGCTGTAAGACGGTCAGCTGCTCGATCTGCTGTCTCAGCTGGATGATTTCTCTCTTGGAGCGGACCGTCTCTTCCTGGTACTCCGTTATTGTTTTCTCAAAGAGCCCGAAGATCTCCTCTGCAGCCGCCGTTAGCCGCTCGCTAACCAGGAGCCTGAGCTGCTGCATCCCCGACATGTTGGAACCAACCGGCACAGCCAGGAAACTAAAAGGAAAACAACTAAAAGGATAAAACACTATCACTGCAATACAAAACGCCTGACAAATATAATCTAATTAAAAGACAGCAGCGTGACTTTTCCTTCCCCGTTCGCAATTAAAGTATTATATGTCACAGCGCCCCCTGCTGTTTCCTCCTCCCCCCTCTTTTCTTCTTCTTCTTCTTTGTTAGATTGCCGGATTGCAGCATATTGTCCCCTACTGTACATGGGTGTGAGGCTCTATAGTTCCACCTACTATATTTTATTTTTTTTATTTTTGTGTATTGTAAAAATAAAAACAATGCTTTATTAATAATCAAATTTTATCCCTGGCTCCATCTGTCCTTAAATTCCATAATTTCCATACTTATTTTCCTCATCCTCTCTCTTTCAGTTGCATATAGCACCCCCTGCTGTTTCTTCCTCCTCCTCTTCTTTTTGTGCACCATTTCTGATGAGGGAAAGCTAAAATATAACAAGCTGCTGATATAATAATGTATTGTTGACCTGACTTGTTTTTTAACTGTTTGTTGTTAAATCATTGTTGAATAAATGTTTTGTAAAAAAAAAAAAAAAAAATCTTCTTTCTGGTTTGTACTGGCAGGTGACATCAAACGTTAGGATATCATCGCCATCTACTGTGCTGGCGTGTGGACCAGAGTAGCTCCCTTTATTCTAAATTCTTATAAATAATCCTATTTCCTACAGCCTTGCAACAAACTAAATTATAATAAAACTAAAATGCTTTTTTTAAACCAAACTTTTATGTTCCTCTTATATTTGGCGAAATTATGTTTAAATATTTTGCAAAAATATGTTGCAATGCATGATGGGGTTTTGCATCTAAAGGCTAACGTCTTACGTGCATTGTTGCCAGGTTGGGATGTTTCCCAATCTGGCAGTTTAGGATAGCCGTCTATGGGTTAAAAACATTTTTTCTTTCGAATTATGGCCTAAGAGATCAATAGATTTTGGTTCATATTGGGCAAGATTTCGTATATCCAGGGGGTTTATGAACATTTTTTGGGCTGAAAAACGTGAGTCAGTGACATCTGGCAACCCTGATGATGTGGTGAGTTGCGTTCATTAAGCAGCAGCAGTCACTGGGGCCGGTGAAATGCCAGGGCCGAAAATCGTCCAAGCCTGTTAACAATCCATGTAATCCACACATACAAAGCAATCAAATCATAGATGTACAGAACTTAGGTTATGTGTAATAAAGTGGAATGGCACAGGGAAAAAAGGATTGAACACACACACCGGTTCAGTCCCAAATGATGGCCAATAAAAAGGTGTCTCTGGTATCACACAAGAAACATCTCATGATGGGTAAAAGTAAAGAGCTTTCAAAGGACCTTTGCAACGTTAATGATGGCCTTAGTTACAGAAGGATTTCTAAACTTCTGAGTGTTCCGGTGAGCACTATTGTAGCCATAATCCAGTAGAACTTTTTATTGCCTACCAGGAGTGGGTGACAATAGTTGAATAAACTTAGGGCTCTCAAAATGGTATCGGTGCCGTATTTGTTGGTACTTGCCGATACCGATACCACCATTTTAGGGCAGTATCGGGGCCCCGTCCGATACTGGTATCGGAATCGGTGCAACACTACTAATAACTAGCGTCCTGTCTAGGACGGTGTCGGAGGTGTGCCAGGCGTTGTGGACGGCACTATATCCAGAGTTTCTGCCATTAGATACCAAACAGGAAATATGCATAATGTAGAGCGTATATAGATTTGACCAATCAGAGGCCTCGTGTCTGCGGCACTGTCTGCGATCAACTACAATTTTGGAGAGGTGCAGCAGAGTGTTTGCGAAAGGGGTGGAGGCATATCTGCGTTAACTGTGACACAACCAGGCTTTAACCTTATGGTATGTAGTGCATCACCTAAAGAAATAAACTAAAATGCAAATAAACATGGTTTAATCATGTTTTGAAGACTGCTCTTAGCATGTTTGATGATGACCTCAGACAAGCAGTTTAATGGAGAAAATGTAAAAAGCATCAACATTGTCTCAGAAAAAGTCATAAAAAATTTTTAAGATATATATTAGCATTCTTTAGTGAGTTAAAGATGAGCAGCTTAGCATGGTAGGACCAAAGCAAGGGAGTTTTTTGTTGCAACCACTCACACATCAAAAGAAGCTCTGCTCCTCCACTCTCTTCATCTCTTCAAGCATCTGGAAGTTCCTGAAACTCAAAGAGAAATGTTGCAAACAGTCTGTTTTGCAGCAATTTGGTTCTGATATCGGCCATCATGACTTAACTGGACATAAGCTATAATGGTGGCTTCCATGATGACTTCATCTCTGATGTGAACCCCAGGAAAGCTTCACAGAAGTAGAAGGGAATCCTCTGAGTTTGGTTTTTTTTCTGTCCTCAAACACTATGGGGGGTAGGACCATATGCTTGCCTTGTAACACTGTCTTGGGGGAGGGGGCTCTGCAGAAGTAACTACGGTAATATTATGGATTATGGCTCAACAAAGACGATGTGGTTTCATGGCTTTCAGCTTATTCATTCAGAGGTTATAGAGTCAGTTTAAAGACCTCCTCCCATGGATGTCCGTCGACGCTGTGGATCGTCTGAAGCATGTTTTCAGGTGGTAGGAGTGTGCCACCATTTTGCCACATGAGCTGCAGTAGTACGGCTTCTCGCCTGTGTGTTTCCTCATGTGGACCCTGAGGTTTGAAGTCTGGGTGAAGGTTTTCTCGCAGAAGGGGCACCTATGCGGCTTCTCGCCCGTGTGAACCCTCAAATGCAAAGTCAGACTATCTTTCCGGGCGAACTCCTTGTGACATTCGAAGCATTTGAAGGCCTTTTGCCCCTGGTGGGACTCGTCCACATGCCTGATCAGGTCGCAGTCCCTGATGAAGGACATGCCACACAGACGGCAGGACTTACTATCCAGGACGTGTTCCAGCTGCATTAATGGAACATGGCCAGGACTCGGACCGCAATGTAATGAGTTTGTTCCAATCTGCCTGATCCATTCGCTATTATCTCTGCTGTTTAGTGTCACGGTAATGGAGCTGACACTCGGTAATAGATGGGGGTCACTTTGAAGGGCTTCTTCTGATTCATACGCTGAATCTTTTACATTGTCTGAGGAGTCAGTGTCCAGGTCTGGGATGATGCAGACATCCAGCTGCTCCTCTTTAACCTGCCGATGGTCCCCGCTTTCATTTTGTCCTTCAGCTGGAGGCGTGCTTCGGGTCCCTGATGCTGAATCCACAGATAGGAGACAGAAAAACAAGCGAAAGAGGTAATATTGTATAACATTTGTATTTATTCACAAAAAAAAAACACTTTATATAAATGAACTGCTCACAGACAGATAGATTAAAGATTTATTTCTGTTAATTATGATGATTACACCTAAAGCTAACAAAAGGCAACGTTTTAGTTTTTAATATTACATCAAGATGATTTAAAAAAAAAAAAACTTTTTAAGAGCAGAAATTTAGGCTTGATTAAAAAATATGTTCATCTCATACAGACATTTTTTTTTTTCATATCTTATTCAATTTAAAAGACCCCAGGCTTTAAGGTCACAAAGCTTTTACCCAGTTTTGGGAAGCTTGGTTTTCAGGACTCCATTACAGTAGTAGCCATTCATAATTTCCCCACTTTTTAAACATCTTTGTACTAAAATATTCTTTCTGTCATTATTTGTGGGCATAAGATCTAAAGAGAAGCAACATCCCCTGGTCAGACCCTGTAATTTAGTGAAAGGGTGGAGTCAGAGTAAAAAATATACACACCCAGGAGAAGGATGGGCTGGAAGTTGGAGGGGATTTTGCTGGGAGTTGCATGGAAGTGGGCTGCCAGTCGGCTGGCGTTTGACTGGGAAGGGCCATTTTGAATGGCTGCTATTGTAGGTTAATCTAAGATATCCAAGAAAAGCGGATGCTAGTCTGTGGATGGGACTTGTTGTATGACATGATGTACAAATCTAAAGAATCAGCCCAGACATCAAGAAGAGACGTGTGGAGCTCCCCAAGTTTGGCTCAGCCAAGGGTTCATTTTCCAGGACAACTAAAGGTGCTGCGTCCATCTGTTTAAATAATCCCATACCAGTAAGGGGTGGCATGTTCCTATGTCCCAAAGATTTTTTATTTTTTTTTGCCAAGAAGGTAACTATAAGCCCAAGAGCATAAACAACTAGACCATGTGAAGATGTGAGCCCCATAATGACATGACTGGAACATAAAAAGGCCAGATTACAGGTTGCAAATGTCTAGCATCTTAAAGTTAAAAGGTACTGAACAATACCAAAGGAACACCATCAGTCTGAAACATGGTGGTGGTAGCATCATTATCAAGATTCTTTTTTCATTTTTGAAATGTTTTTATAGTGACTTAAAATATTAATTCATCCAAAATAGTGGTCCTCCTAATTGTCAATCATTGTGATGATATGGTTTAGTAAGGTCGTCCTACATGTGGAAACGTGTGCAATGATCTGATTGTCTAAAATTTATCAGATTAACATTTGGAGGCCTGAGAACACCATCCCTACAGGGACGAATTGGTACATTTAAACCAAATAAACCAAAAAAATCCAAAAAGAGTACATTTAAATCCACTGGACTTTGTTTCCGAGTTTGTAGATGTTGCGCTTCCCATCCAGGAAGCTTTTTTTAAGTCTAAAATTTTGAATAGAAGTCTGAATTTTGAAAGTCTAAAATTTCAAATTGAATTTTGACTTTGAATTTTGAGAGTCTAAAATTTTGAATAGAATTTTGAAAGTCTAAAGTTTTGAATTAAAAGCTTCCTGGATGGAAAGTGAAATGTCATAGTCATTCCAAAAAAAAAAAAAGTTGAAGTTGAAGAGGTTTCGCTTCCTTCCACAAAACTTTTTTTGAAGTCTAAAATTTTGAATAGAATTTTGAATTTTGAAAGTCTAAAATTCTGAATTGAATTTTGAAAGTCTAAGATTTTGAATTAGAATTTTGAAAGTGTAAAATTTTGAATTGAATTTGAATTTTGATAGTCTAAAATTTTGAATTGCAAAAGTTTCCTGGATGGGAAGCAGATGTCTTCAAACTTGGAGACAATGTCCAGTGGATTGTTTTTTATTGTCTTTATTTGGTATATGGAAAATGACTTATTTAACTTTTAATTAATTAAGCCAGTTTAATTATATGGTGGTTAAAGAGAGATATGTTTTGCAGTATAGGCATATCAAAGCCTTACAGACATGAGTGACCCATCAGTTGTATTTAAATAAGAAGGAAATGCCTGCTTGTAATATAAATAAAAACCTGACTGTACTGGAAATGTTTAGTTTGATTAAACCTGACAAAAAACCTTTTGTTTATCTATCTATTTATAAATACACACCTTCTATAAGCAAAATGCAATGTAACTACTTTACATCAACCAATGCAACAACATTATTGACGTCACAGTAACAGTGATGGCCGCAGAGCTGTTTTTAAAGCTGATTTAGCAACAGCTGCTTTGACAGCATCGCCACCAACCTTCTTTGAACAAAGACACTCGGGGCTGTAAGACGGTCAGCTGCTCGATCTGCTGTCTCAGCTGGATGATTTCTCTCTTGGAGCGGACCGCCTCTTCCTGGTACTCCGTTATTGTTTTCTCAAAGAGCCCGAAGATCTCTTCTGCAGCCACCGTTAGCCGCTCGCTAACCAGGAGCCTGAGCTGCTGCATCCCCGACATGTTGGAACCAACCAGCACAGCCAGGAAACTAATGCTTTAAAAAAATACAATAACCCAGCTTTTTAATGCAGGGAGGCTGTTCTGTTGTCTGGCCGATCCAAAGTAATTAAATTAATATTTCGTCTTTTGTTACAGGCTTACTAAACATTTAAAAATGAAATTCTTTAGCGCCCCCTGCTGCCCAGATGACCAGCTCTTTAATACTGTACTCTATTAAATACATTTCACTTGTTTATCTTTTCTTCTTGTTGTTTTTTACATTCTTATTGTGACCTTTGTGGGTTTTTTTTATGTCCTGCTAGTAAAAAGATTTTTCTTTGCATAAAGGTTGAAATGTTCCCAGTTTAAGATGTTTATCTGGTGTCACTGGGATGCAAATAAGCAGAGGGATAGGCAGGCCACTAAGCAGCAGTGAGGGTTAAAATGGGAGTTGTTTCAGTGAGGAGGCTTTGTGGTGATGCTTCTTTGTCCATCAGACACAAACAAAATTCACTTTATGGAGATTAAAGTTTATTCTTTGTTTAATGAGAGGCAGATGCCAATATCTGGCGAACAAATGGATGAAAAATGTAGAATAACAGCTTGTTCAAAATAAAGACTGATCTGTCTTTATAGCTGTAAAGCTATTAATGAAGCCCTCTAATTCTCGGGGAAATTATTTGTACTCATCTCAAAAACAAAATAAAAACCTTTTTCATTAAAAAAACTTTTGTTTGTATCTTTGTGTGTTTCCATAATTACATCTGCATGCATTTAAAAATGTATAGTAATTACTTTAAATATTTATCAAAATGATTATATAATTATTAGATATTGGCATCTATTCTTATTCGAAAGGAGCCTATGAACATCTTTATTTGCAGATTTGCTTCAGACCTGTCAGACTGTGTGGAGATCTCTAGCCTTCCATTGTTCGAATTTTAAACGTATAGTGGAGGATTTTCACAAAATTTTTGAAAAGACCCACCCTCACCACTTTTAAAAAAATGCACATGCAAGAACCCTGTACCTGCTCCCAAGAGGGAAGGTCTATTAAACACGTGTGAAAGCATGCACAAGCCCAATTTTCCTCATGCACACTCTTTAAAAGTTGCTGTTTGCATTGTTCATACAAGCTTAGTTTCCAAAAGAAGATTTGCAATTTGTCCACTAATGTCAGACTCACCACTTAAGTGAAAATGGGGATGAGCACATAGGACGTCCTAACGTAAACATATCACCAGAATGATTGACAATTAGGAGGAGCACTCATTTTGATGATCCACCCAGAACGAGAACACCTACAACTATACCTTTATGGTTCATATTTAGCTGCATGTCTTCCTCCTCTCTTCAAACCACTTCCTGTCACAGTACTTTGAAAATAAAGGCTACTTTTGGCCACAAAAACAAATATTTTATGCGTTTTAAAAAGCATTTGAAATATTTTCAGCCACTATAAAAACATTTTAAAGATTAAAAAACTCTTGATCATGATGCTAACACCACCTGATGGTGTTCCTTCGGTATTGTTCAGTCACCAAGTTTATAAAACTTTACTAAAATGCTTGCATTTTACAGTTTGCATTTAGACTGAACACTAATCTCCTTGTGGCTGTGTTGTGAAGGCTATGTTGACATCCTTCAAAATTCAGTTCAATTCAAAAATACCTTGTTAATCCCAAAGGGAAATAAAATGTTGCAATGGCTAAGGTTTTTTGTTTTTTTTAAACGAGTTATTATGGTTGTTGATAGGTAGGATCTACTGTAGCGGTCTTTCAAAATCCTATGTGTAAACCCTGGTCTTAATTAAGTGAGCATTTAAGTGTGCATTTAAATTTGAATTGTGGTTAACCAGTTTCCCCATGACTGATGTCAGTTTGCCAAACAATGAGAATCAAAGTATTAGCTTAGGGGTGTATACATTTATGCAGTTTTTCATTGTCTTTGTTGCCAGTGTGTTTTTCAGTTAGTTGGTACAGGACTTCACATTAAAAGGAACTTTTATACATTACAAAACATTTTATTTTAAGAGCCTGTTGATGAAAAAATAAAAGTCTGAGTCTTATTTAACAAGAAATTGAGATCTGCTGATCCTCGTTCAAGCCAATATTATATTAAATACCTTGCAAAGAAGGACAGATGCAGTTGGCAATATTCCTGCCTATTCTGACTCTCACAGGTTTAAGGAGCCTGGAAAAGGCTACGGTTTCTCCCCATACAGGTTTAAGAACAAGTTACATACAGTGGGAGGAAAAAAAAAAAGTTAAATGTTGAAGAACCTGGAGAGGAAGGATTCTGAACTGTGATGGGAAAAAATGATCTTGTTTAAAACAGCATCTCTCACCCAGACACTGTGTAGCCTTGCAGGTATGCGACGGCCTGAGTGAAGACTTTAAAATATTATGAAGGGATTTGATGGGAAATAGATTTTCTTCTGACCACAAACTAAAGACGTTTCCAGGCTAAATTAAATCTATTTGTGCATTTATGTTTATTTCAGGGTTGTAGCTGCTGCTTCTCTCAGCTAGAGGTCAGAATTTAAAGATCAAGTCAGTGAGTTTGTGCATGATGAGAAATCTGTCTGCAAGCTCTGTGTTTTATACAAAAAAAAAGGAGAAAGTAGAATCTTCTGCTTTACCACCATCCCTGATGGACTGACTAAGACGTTAATGTAAATCTAAGAGCTTCTTTCATAATTACCTAGTTAAAAAAAACAAAACATCTGTGATTGGATCAAAAAGATTCAGAAGATCAAGCATAATGAGATGATCATTCTATATAGACTGGTTGGTTAACCCCCAAATCAGCAAGAGGAAAATAAATGTTTGAAGAAACTGGAACTTTTCAATATGCCTTTATTTCAACAGCATGGCGCCGGCTCATTGTTAACACACATGGTCCTGCAGATTACACCGAAAGAAATGATTAGAAAAACACCTGTACAGCCACATAATACATTATAAAAGAGATCAGCCTACTTCTACTAGGAGGACACTTTATAAATAACTGGGATCAAGTATTTCATATGACGGCCCATTTTGTTTTTTTTTGCATTTTTAAAGAAAATTACTGAACTGTTTCACTCCAGATCTTAACAAATGTCAAACTGTGCATTGGAACAGGACATTTCAAATCATATTTATTTATACATATCAACAGTCCAATTAAATGCAGAAAGTATTGCATTCGAAAAAAAATTATGAATGTTTGCATACTTGACTAAAAAAATGTTAATGGGCGAGTCCGTTTGCGTTATGCTTTATAACTCATTTAGTAGGGAAAGACGAATCCCTGAGGCCACACCCACCACATCTAAATTCAAACATAGGAAAACACTAGTAAAATTTAGCAAAAAATAAAAAATAAAGTGAATTCTTTTACTAAAAAGAGCCGGAGGAGGAAAAACAAAAGTTCATCTGGTTACAATCAGAAAGAGAGACATTCAATTCTGCGGTTCCCTTTTTTTATTCTAAAAGGGAGCTTTGTAGGTCAAATAATGGGACAGTTTGTTGTTACAAAAGCTAACTTCCCAAATTCATTGGATCATAAGGAGACCAACAGGGAGAGTTTGTTCACCAGCTCCTGGGAGTGAGTAGCCTTCAAGCCGATAAAGTGGAGTACCTTGTGATGTTGCTCTGTTTTTACCAGGTTCTGCAGAAATTTTACTGTTTCTAACATTTAGAACAGTTTGAAGCCCTTTAAACAAGATCCTTGAAAATGTGCCAGAGCAGTGACAGATTGATAAAAATAATGCTCGGTTGCCCCTCCCACACCTGCTGCTGTTGATCAGCTCTTTGAAAGAAAGCTCGGTTCTTGCGTCATGAATAGCAAACATCTTAAGAGAATGATGGTGGAAGAAATAATCTCCCCAAACGTTTAGCTATACAGGGTTTAGCCAACTTCTACCATTTTAAGATTGTTTTTGGTCAATTTTGCAGCAGCATAAACTGATTTACTCTTTTGTTTTCAGTTTTGGTGAAAAATGCTGAAAAGGTTTTTTTTCCCCCCACAAGCGTTACACTGAGAAACTGATACCAACCCACTAAAGCGACCAGATGAAACTCCAACAAGAAAGCCTGATGTAAACACAGAGCCTCCTGGTCTGAGGCCGGTAATTCCCCCCCGATTGTTTACAGTATCTCCCTCCCCTGTAATCCCTGCAGCCGTCAACTCTGCAAACTTCATGACGGCTGGAGGATCCACCAACAAGAGACTCAATGAAACACATCTAGTACTGAAACCTACTGCCAACACACTGTCACCAGTCACACAGACCATACCATGTTCAGGCAGTAGTAATGCAAACAGTAATTATTCAAAAAAGAGAGATTATATCCACCATTAATTCACAATCACACATTGCTGATTTGATCTGATGCCAGGATCTCTTGACGCGCTCGCATTCCACAGCACGCACACTTCCTGTTTGTTCCAGGAATAAACGAAGGCCTGCCAGCAAAGAAGAAGGACTGAACTCAGGAAGACTCAGACCACCCGGGGCTCGTGCAGCAGCGATGTTATTAAGAACAGTTAGTGCATACATGGGCTCACAGAGACTCCTTTACAGCTCTGAATGTTGCATGAATATGAAAACAAAAAATCCCCAGAGATACGGTGGTTGGAATTCTGGCCAGTGAAGTCAGCGCCTCAGTTATGCACTGATGTCATGGCTACCTCCAAGCTCAAGGCAACAACAATAGGAAAACCTTTGAACTTGGTATAATTAACATGGATTTCATTTATTTTCAAATTTTAGTCAAGTAAAGAAAAAAAAACAGGGAACTTTAGGTTAATGCAACCAATTAGGCTGAATTTCTAAACCTAAATGTCATCCTTTGGTAAACCTCTTAGTAAATTGCTAATTTCCAAATATAATTTTATAATATAATGAAATTAAAGCTTCCTAGAAGTAATCCAGACCTATATGTATCCATTTAGGTTGTAAAAGAGCAACAAATTCAGATCATGACGCATTCTTTTTCCCTTCAAATTTTCAAACCTCCCAGTTTAAAATCCGACAAGAGCGCTTCCTAAAGTCAGGATTAAGACTTAGGAAGATAGTCAGGTTCCATGACTAATGCTTTCACTGTGCATAAAAGAAATGAAAATCGCAGAAGTGAGGTTATTCAGAAAGCTCTCTGTGCAAAGTTAATCCTTTAGGGCAGGCATCCCCAAAGTCGGTCCTCGAGGGCCGCTGTCCTGCAGGTTTTTTGAGGTTTCTCTGCTTTAGCACAGCTGATTCTGATGATGCAGTTCAGCAAAAGCCTGTTAATCAACTATCAATGTAAATCAGCTGTGCTGGAGCAGGGAAACCTCTAAAACCTGCAGGACAGCGGCCCTCAAGGACTTTGGGGATGCCTGCTTTAGGGTCATATTGCTGATTATAGTCAACACCTTAACAAACGGGTGGAGACATCTCTTCCGGGTCTGAGCCCCCGATGGAGAGACAAACTGCATGCAGCATTGATACCAAATATTTCAATTTAATTACATTTAATTAGTCTGTTAGACGATAGTTGATGGGAAATATATTTAGAAACATTAAATGAACTCATCCTGTCTCGACAGCCTTAAAATCCTTTTCTTGCAGTGAAATTTTCTGATATTTCGATATATAAAGCTTTGGCAGGAAATGGCAGCAATGTAAAAGGTAAATAAAGGAAGAGGATTAATAGCAGCACCAGCAGAAAGTAAGACTTTTAGCAGTTTTACTACAGTTGAGCTGAGAAACAAGTTCTCCTGCACACCACAGTACATTGCATGTAGAGTTTAGGAAAAGCTGCTATCTTCACCGTGAGCTGGTGAGGAATGATTCAGGAGACCAAAATAGGAATGTAAGAACACAAAAGTTGGTGAACTGTGATGTTACAGTCCAAATAACCCCCCAAAAAACCCTGGTAAACATTTTAAATTAATTATGTACATCACTACATCTTCTACACACTTATGGAAACATGCACATCATACATTCAAAGTACCAACAATGATTTGATCCTGATTTCAGTCTTGCTACCAGGTTTGAAGGGCAACTAAAGAAAGAGCAACGTTTGTACAACCTGCCATGAACAAAACCATCCAGAGGCAACTTCAAGATGATTTTCAGCTTCCTATCTGCAAGAGCCACACAAAGAAAAAAAAAATAAAAAAACAGCAGGAAGCTGCCAACAAATACAGCAAATAAAATATGGGACATCTCAAGATAATCCTTATTTTTTGGGTATTTAGGTCGATGGAAGCTGCAGCGAATCGTGTAAACTGGGATAAACGTTATGCAGAGCAGAGGAGCTCGTCTACACAGACAGTTCTGCAGTAACAAGAGTCTTAATTCAAACTGAAACTATGCCTCCAGCTTTGGAAGATCTAATCCAAACACACAGATGAAGCAGCAACGTCATTTTGGATCTGCTATGAAACTCACATTCTGCTCTAATGGTAAATTTGTGCAAATCTTGATCAATATGTGAACTTTTTTTTCTGTGCAGAAGTATCCTTGAATTTCGTGATCACAAGCAACAAAAATGAAAAAAAAAAAAAATTTTCCTTTAGCTCATATTTCTCCTTACTATTCTACTCTAGAAGTTTGCTTTTATTTATGAATTGTGAAGAATTTACACTTTAAAAGCGCTCAGAATCACAAATGCAGGACTGGATAAAAAAAATGGAAACAATTTCAAATAAACAAGGAACAAAAGACTTTCAGCGGTGAATCAAGTCCTGAAGACCAATTAGAAAAAAACAGTAAAACCTTAGATGGTTCCTTTTGTAGAACTTTTGTTTCCCTCATGTGGAACTCTGCTGCAGCGGGGCAGGATAGATGATGATGTAACAGACGAATGTGTGTTTGTGTTTTATAATCAAGTCTTTGCTTTAAACACTCCTAGGAACTCCAGTGAGAGGAAGGCTTAACCGAGCTTGGTGATCTGTAGATCTCCTTGTATCAGTACCGTGTCAATAGAGGGCAAGGATTTTACTTTGTGATAAAAGTCAAAGAGCTGGTGTCCGTCCACGAATATCCGGAAGCGCTGGTGCTCGCAGTGGATCTCAATCTGCAGAGAGAGATGGAGGGTGAAAGAAAAAAAAACTTAGTGAACAAATTTTTTTGCATACATTTGATTGAAAAAAAACCCCCACATAAAATATCTTACAAATGTATTGAGTTCTAAACTTTTCAATTTGTTAGGGAACAATCATAAACTTGAACCCATTTCTGGGCCATGTTCGATGATGAAGCAGTGAATTATTTGCTAAAGTGGAAGGAATGATCAAAAATCTTTTAAGGTGACCCCAAAAAGTTTTTAAAAAGCTTTTGTTTGAGCAGCGCTTAGGATTAATTAGCCCTGCAGGAAAGAATAAAAAAAAAAAAAGGAGATTATTGGTCAAACATAACAAGCCTTGAGGGGTGCAGGTTCATCTTCTAGTGAGACACCAACCCTTAACATCCAGCCACAGATACCCAAAGTTAGGCTTAGATCAGAGGTCTTCATCATGAGGTTTTCACCCCCTAAGATTTGTCTGTGGTCCCAACTGGGATACCCTTTAAAAACACATGGTCTCCAGCCTTTAAAGGTCTTAGCTACCAAGTTTTCATCTAAATTTTCTTTTTTTTTTAATAATATATCCACAGAATGTCTGTATCGGTGCAGAATAAGTATTCATTTTATTTTTTTTAAATAAAGAAATTATAACTTTAAAGTAATACATTTGACCGGTCCAAAACATAAATATTTACTTCTGCTTACGATGCAAACATTGAGGATTTTTATTTATTTAATTCATTTTTTTTTTTAGGATTGAGGCAGACCAAGAGAGAAGAAAATTAGGGTGAACATTGTTCCAGCTTTGGGCGTTGGTGACGATTTAATGAAGAAAAACGGCCCAGAAGTTATGTAGGGGTTGATGGGTTTTTTCTTGGCCCATAAATTGAACATTTGCTAATGTTTAGCAATGGCAGACCTGGCAAACGGTACAACTGAAGGTTTGAACGAGAGCAGGAAGGTGTAAGTGTCCCACCTAATGCCCGGGAGGGCTGGAAATTATAGCTATGGTCTTTAACCCTATAATGCCAAATGTATCGTATTTGATACATACGGTTTCTGAAATGTTTTGCATAATTTAATGGTAAAAACTTTGCTCAAAATCCTATTGTACACAATCAAATATACCTGATAACAGCCAGTAGAAGACTACACAAAAAATAATCTTGACTTATCGCATAGTAATAAATTATTAATATCAAAAATGTATTTCTGTTTTTTCTTTTTACATATTTTGATAAAAGGGCAAATAAGGAATTAAAACCAAAAAAAGTAATTTTCTGTTTTGTTTTATTCTTGGATCGGGCTTTAAAGGGTTAAGGCCGGAATTTTAAAAGCAATGTTAAGATTTATTGTGCTTGATCACAAATGAATCTAGCAGAATAGTAACATCTGCTATACAGTTAAAGAAACTAAACTACAGTTAAAGAAACTAAACAAAAAAAACCCACAAAATTTGCATTAAAAGCTGATCTTCATTCATCCATCCATCCATCTTCTTCTAATTATCCGGGGTCGGGTCACAGGGTAGCAGCTTCAGTAGGAGGCCCAGACATCCCTCTCCCCAGCCACTTGGGCCAGCTCCTCAGGGGGAATCCCAAGGCGCTCCCAAGCCCGCCGAGAAACATATTCCCTCCACCGTGTCTCGGATTTGGGGGCATCGATCCTCATCCCGGCCGCTTCACACTGGGTTTCGAACCACAGTATATTTTCAGGTGGAAATTTGTTCTAAAAACCTTTGGGTCTGCGCAGGAACCACCCCTCCATCCCTTCCCAGCAACCCTAAACCAGCTATCACCAAGCACAGCATGACAAGATGGTCCTGGCTTTGTGTCTCCATCAATCTGTGGGTCTGGGATTGATAAACACCTTGTTTAGAGACTTTATTTTATGTTATTGAATGTCCTAGTCAAAGCACAAAAACAAATTCAATTGGGAATGTGTGGCTAGACCTAGACTTAGCAATTCACAGACACTCTCCATCCAAACTGACCAAGCATGAGCCGCTCTACAGAAGAATACCAGGCATTTTCAGCCTCAAGTAGAGCAGAGATGGTAGAGATAAAAACCAGACACCTGCACCTGGAACAGTGGAGCTCCTGGAGCTTGAATATGAATGCAGAAAAAATATTGAGATTTTGTTAAAACTATGGCTGAAACAATACCCTGCCTCTCGCCCGTAGACAGCTGGAGATGGGCACCATCACCCCTCGTGACCCCACTCGGGATAAAGTGTGTCAGATCAAATGGATGGATGGATAGGGCTGAAACAATGAATTGGATTAAATGTCGATTAATCGATTATCAGAATAATTGTCAAATAATTTAATGATCGATTAATCCTTAACTGAAGCGTAGAGACTCTAAAACATGCCTTTAGCTGACAGAGCGACCCACTTAGAGCAGTAATTATACCAAAATCGTAAAAAAAAATAAATAAATAAATAAAAAATGTTGTATCAAAGATATAAAAAAAAAGAAAATTCATTAATATGCTCTACCCAGAGCCCCTGAAGTGGAAAAGGTTTAGTTTCACTTGGTTTAATTCTGTAAAAAAAATCTTCCTTAAGGATCCTTCAACTATCTAAGTATTAATCAGTTAAATGAATAAATATTTAATGGATTAATCGATTAGCAAGTTAATCGTTACTTGCGGCCCTTGTTAAAACAAAAAAATTAAAGCATTTTCCTTTCAATTCAGTGTGCTGCGCTACTTTCTGTTGGTTTCCAAGTTTGAAGACGTTTCTTAAAACCTCAAACTCAAAGCTATTCCGGACATTTTGAATTGAAAAAGCGTCCTGGACGGGAAGCGAAACTTCTCCACACTTGGAAACCAAGTCCAGTGGATTGTTTTTCATTTTCTTTTATTTGGAATGACATTGTCGAGTTCAGGAAGAAACGTCCTAACCACGCTCCACTGCTCATCAACAGCTCCGCTGTAGAGGTGGTCAGCAGCAGCAAATTCCTGGGGGTGCACATCACAGACACCCTCACCTGGAATGTAAATACCATATCACTGATCAAAAGGGCACAAAGCGCATGTACGCATGCTTCCCTGTCCTCGGAACCTTCATCAGTGGTTCGGAAATGAGGAATGTTGTGCACTCTGCAATGCTCCCAACGCAAGCCTCCAGCACATCTTGTTAGGCTGCAAAGTGGCCCTCTCACAGGGCCGCTATAGATGGCGCCACGACCAGGTCTTGAGAAAGCTAGCCGAAGTGCTGGAGGAGCGCAGAAAGGGTAGTAGAACACCATCGCCAGCAGAGGACCCCACCATCTTTGTCGCGGAAGGAGGAATCAGAAGCTTCAAGCAAAGAGAAACCTCAAGGCCCTTCCCTACTGGCCAGGAGTGGAGCATGAAGGTTGACCTGGACAGGAAGCTTCAGTTTCCCACAGAAATCACCACCACATCTCTCCGACCAGACATTGTGGCGTGGTCCATAAAGGCAAGAGCGGTAGCCCTCATTGAGCTCACTGTGCCAATGGAGGAAGGGATCGAAGCTGCCTTTGAGCGAAAAAAGGCCAAGTATTCAGAGCTGGCTGCAGAGTGCCGGGAGGCGGGCTGGAAGACTACCATCTACCCAGTAGAGGTCGGATGCCGAGGCTTCACAGGGTTGTCGACCATGCGCCTCCTGAAAGACGTGGGAGTCAGGGGAGGAAGGCTGAGGAAGGCAACAAAGGAACTGGCTGAGGAGGCGGAGAAAGGGAGCTTTTGGCTCTGGCTGCGGAGGAAGGACAGAACCTGGGGGAATAACACCTAAACCCCAGATAACAGTTGCAGGGAATAACATCTTTCAGCTGCAGGGGGTGACAGGGAGACGCCCCTGTCACTGCCCCGCCACCAGGAGACGTTCCAGGATTAAAGGGGCGAAACGTTGGTGAATGGTGGTTCCTGGCTGATGACCCTGCAGCTGACCCATGGGCACCGGAGGAGGTGCGACAGGCAGAAATGCCAAACAGGATTTAACACCCTCCTGTATTATCCTGAATCAGTTAAATGAATAAATATTTAATGGATTAATCGATTAGCAAGTTAATCGTTACTTGCGGCCCTTGTTAAAACAAAAAAATTAAAGCATTTTCCTTTCAATTCAGTGTGCTGCGCTACTTTCTGTTGGTTTCCAAGTTTGAAGACGTTTCTTAAAACCTCAAACTCAAAGCTATTCCGGACATTTTGAATTGAAAAAGCGTCCTGGACGGGAAGCGAAACTTCTCCACACTTGGAAACCAAGTCCAGTGGATTGTTTTTCATTTTCTTTTATTTGGAATGACATTGTCGAGTTCAGGAAGAAACGTCCTAACCACGCTCCACTGCTCATCAACAGCTCCGCTGTAGAGGTGGTCAGCAGCAGCAAATTCCTGGGGGTGCACATCACAGACACCCTCACCTGGAATGTAAATACCATATCACTGATCAAAAGGGCACAAAGCGCATGTACTTCCTGAGGAGGATGAGGAGAGCCCACCTGCCCCCACCCATCCTCACCACCTTCTATAGAAGCACCATAGAGAGCGTTCTGACCAGCTGTCTCACTGAGTGGTGTGGAGGCTGCAGCGCCTCAGACTGGAAGAAGGTGAGAGCAGTGTTGAGAACAGCAGAGAGGATCATCAGGGCTCCTCTTCCCTCCAAGAAGACATTTTTAACCCAGCGCTGCGTGTCCTGAGCCCATAACATCATCATTGACCCCTCACACCCCCACCATGGACTGTTCTCCCTGCTGCCCTCTGGGAAGAGCTTCAATGCAGGACCAGTAGATTCTGTAACAGCTTTTTCTTTGCTGCCATAAGACTGTTGAACTGTTCTACTTTAAACTGGCCTCTGCATCACACTCAAAATATTATTTTGCAGCACCAACATGGCTGAATTTTTATAATTCTTTTAAATAGGACACAACTCAGTGCTGCATTTTGCACCATATTTATTTTGCACTAACAGACATTTCCATATTAATGCCTTTTTGCACCATTATTTGTTTACATGATGATCACTGCTGCACTTTAAATGGTAATGTTTATTTCACTGTTTCAAGCTGTACGCAAGTTTGTCTAAGTCCAAGTCTAAGTCTTAAAATTCCAGTAGAGTATATTTAAGACTGGGTGGCTTTAAAGGGAAAAAAATGTTTTTAAATGCCTGACAAAATAATGGTTAGAAAAATAACTGAATTTATCCTAATTTCCATCTCTTTCACCCCTCAGTCAGGTATTTCAAATATTTCATTTCTTTCAGGCTCTAACCGGGAAAGGTTATTTGTTCCATTTAACCCCCACCACCCCGCCCCATCTGCTTCTCTATGCTTTTTTCAAAACCCTGAAGCAAAACCAACGATAAACATCAAACTCATCGAGTGCAACTTTGACCAAATACAGTAACAAACACATCAACCATATAAGGACCTCGATGACTTCTGCACCAATTTTAGGCCAAAGGAAACATCCATTAACAGTTGAGCAGAAATTAGCCTTCTCACTGTAAAACCACAGCATGTCAGGCGTCTGCCCACATGCTTCCCAGTTAGTTTTAAACATGGCGGCTCTAATCTCCACGCTCCAGCTTCCGACAGCAAAGCCTAATCAGAGAGTAGATGGCAGAGAGTACGTAGAACCTGCAGAAACCCCGTCTTAAAGTATTTTGTGAACAGAATGGTAAAAAGTGAGTGCAGCAGCAGTTCAGGATTAAAAGGCGGAGGAACAGCTTGTCCTATTTTTAGCAGATGCAATATTCTGAATTTATTAGAGCGTGATTAAATTAAATGAGCCAACAGGTCCTGATCTCTACTAGCAATGAGTCACAGCTGTTCATCAGGAGGCCTCCTCCCTCCCAGAGGACTTTGTTCTTAATGTGAGTTTTGTAAACAGACCACTGATCGTATGCAGGCTGTGTTAACATTAGACAGAGAAGGGGCAGCATAGGTGATCATCTCACAAACTCAAAAACAAAAATGTTAGATTCTCCTTCCTATCCCCCGTAATGCGAACAATAGACAATGCTAATATGCACTTTTTACATGGTTTAAAGTCATGGCGCCTTAGTATTAATTGATATTTCCAAAATATTGCAAACATTTTTTATATAGTTTCCTCACAGGCAGATTCAGCTGGACTCTTAATAGATCAAACTGAATCATTTTGCTTAAATACCTTTTTCTTTCTGCCATCTGCTGACACCAATTCCCTGTTGCAGCAGCTGAATAATAAAATAAAAGTCTCTAGGCTAAAAATGCAGCTTCTTTCCAAAAATAAACAAACCTTTCTGACATTTCCTGGTATTTTTTTAATACCGTACAGATTCAGATAACTAAATAGAGCCTGCTAACATCAGTAACAACTTCCACACCGAAGAGTGTTGTTAACAAAACCAGCTATAGTTAATATATGGTGCATGTAAAGAATCCTCTTGAATCCTAAGCAGCCTTTAAAAATATGCTTTACCTATAAATTTAAAAATATCCCTTGTCACACAATGCTGCACAGTTCTTACATTCATAGATGATCATTCAACCAACCCAATGATAGAAATTCCTTACAACAAAAGAGCTCTTTAGCCACGCCCCCATCTATTCCTTATGCAAACATGTGGCTGAGAGGTGCAAATGATCTGCAAATACACACATTTTGATAACACCAAAAAGAATTGAAAAATGATGCAAATCAGAACATAGAAAGAAGTGAAAGCTATATACACTAAAGCAGCTAGCTAATAAAGATGCAAACTTTTCACCGACAAGAAGCTTAGTGTAGCTTAACACTGGGGGAGTTGGCCACCACGCCACATGGGACCTGAGAGGAATGAAGAGAAAGATGCTTCCCTAATGTCATTTAAAGCAACACTATAAGTCTTGACCCAAGTATTAGCTTACTTTAAAATGTATATTAAATGCTTTTCAGGTCAGTATTTAGCACTTGGTACATATTGATGCTCCTTCTCGAAAACTCAACTTTGTAACTTTGAGAGGGTTGAATCCATTTCTGAATAAATCATGTTTTTATCAATATTAGTTATAGAGAGGAAAGCTTGATTTACTGTTTTTTTTTTAAGTCATGAAAATATTTATTTAAAAGATATTCACATACTTTTTTTTTAAAAGACCTGCTTGTGCCATCTTTGTTATAAGTAGCCGCTGACGCTACACGAAAGCGGGCCGCTGTGACAGCAAATCCCATAAGACTTTGAGCAAAGCATTCTGGGATATATCTGCCTCTTCTGAGGCCTTTCTTTTCTTCTCATACACAGACACTTTTTCTCTTACGAGCCTCGGCCATTTTCAAAGACCGGCAGTGAGAAAGGTGAGCTTCAATGACTGTGTGAAACCATAGCTCACCACAGATATACGCCTGAAAGAGCGCATGCATAGAAAGAGATAGCTAACGGGACAAACGCGTAGGACAGCTTTATGTAAACACATCACCAGAATGATTGACAATCAAGAGGACCACTTATTTAGATGATCCACCCGGAAATAAAAGATCATCCTCTATACCTTTAAGCTTATGTTATTTACTTGCTTTTTTCTGGCTTTCATTCAATAGCGTAGCTAATCCCTTCAGATCCACCTTTAATGGCTTCATCAGTATCAGCTCCAAAAATTCAGTTCTTGTTTTTAGGTATTAATGTTCCAACCATAGATGGAACTCTCACCCTACAGGTCTCTGGGGATTGGGTTCATCCTATGCTGAGATAACAGAGGAGCACTTACCCTAAATGGCTGGTCTGGGATGAAAGGAAAGTAGTCGGTGGATGCCTCCTCTTCCGTCCATTTCCCCGAGACGCGGGCGCTGCGCATGAACTGGCGATCGTTGAAGCGAGCGGTGAGTTTCAGCGCCACGTCGAACGGCGACGTGTCCTTTTCTGAATCCCGCCCGCAGGTGAGGCTAACGTCAAAGCTGAGGAGACGAGAAACAAGTCAGGAAGGATTCTCTACAGGGCAGCAGACGTAGGAGTTCAGACCGTGAACTGGACAGTAATGTTTAAAAAAAAAACAAAACTATGAATCCATCTTTTTATCTTTCCTGCCCAGCATCATCTCTTCTCTTCAGTTTCCTAAGTCAAGGGACTGAGAGGGTGTTGGAAGATAATAGATTTTGTGTTATTTTAAATGCAGAGTTGGACATACAGTCCCACAGCACCACGGAACCTCCACCCTGCTTAATTACACATGAGCTGCTTTTCCATAAATCATCAGTTGTTCCTCGAAATGCTGCCTTCTCAGAGAGTTTGTCACTTCTGGACATAAAAAATGAATCCATTTAAACGAATCTTTACCAGTGGGGGCAATAAATGTGCTTATGTCTCTAGCTAATCTGGGATGAGACTTAAATAATTCTGCTGTTGCTGTCTAAGAGCTCACCATGTGTGTGTTAATTATGCATAATCCCTGATGCCATCCTGCCCTGCAGCTGTGCAGCTCATACATAATGAAGCATCTCTCGAGGAAGTTTCTAAGCTGGAAAAAAGTCTATTTTCACATGAACTTTAGACTTTGGATCATCTTCCAGCAGCAGCCTCTGAACAAGATGAGGTCATGGAGAGTTTTTTTTTTTTTTCCAGTTTTAGAACAAGTCTGCATACAGGGTAAGGACACACCCAAACAAAGCTGCCTCATTGCTCCTTATTCCTCATATTTTCCCTTCATTTTCATGTCCTCCCTGCTGGTGAGGGAACGCCCTGTCTCTGCATATTTAAAGTGCTCCTGTCCACAGTCTCATGAAGTGGCTTTGCAAGTTTGTTTAAGAAAAAACAGAACAAAAGGATCTAATCTAAAACCAATCAGTGCACACAGATTTATAATAGGAAGTTAAGTAGGCTATGCAGAGATGAGGACGATCAGCTGCTGTGTGGGGCCATTATCTCACCTGTGTGGCTCCAGGTCCACGATGCCCATCACTATGATCTTCTTGCCCGGCCGCATTCCGCCGCGGATGCGCCCGCTGAAAGGCACAGTCTGCCCACAAAGAAAAAAAAAATCAGATAAACTCATCAGTCATTCATTTGCATGATGATAACTCTGCTCAAAGACAGCGACACAGAAAAGATAGAGGGGCGCATTTCTCACCAGCAGACGGGATAAATCCTCCTTGTCGGGTGAGATCAGCCCGGAGTTTCCCAGTGAGTCGTTCAGCGGGTGTTCCTCATCCATGCTCATGTTCTTGGAGAGAACAGAACAGATCAGGAGCTTAGAACCAGTCAGGGCTGAAGTTAGACACCCAGATCAATAATTGATATTATTGTAGCCCCGCATGCGGACAACAACAATGTAGATCTGGCAGGTTTATTCATCCCTGTGGATCAGGGAGCTGCTTGGATTGAACACCAGGCGCTTTGAGCGCATCCAGATCTCCAGCTGGGCAGCCTGGATGAAGGCACCACATTAAAACTGGGTTTCCTGGCTTCCTCTCAGGCCCACAGATAGATGATAGTTGGATGAAAGAGGAGTCCCCCCCTGCGCTCTGATCGCTCAGCCCCCCCACCTTTACAACAACCATACATCCAGATAACGGCGCGTAATGACCTCCACCAGATAAACGCACCACCGCCCACCGCAGCCTCCGATCACTGATCGGGCTTGGAAAATACTCACTATCCCGTCCTTTTCCGCTGCCTGCACCGCCATCTTGAGCCGAAGAGCACAGGATGAAAGCCTGCCGCGGCGTGGGGGAGCGTGGCGCGTCAGCGTCGTGGGACTTGCCTCGGGAGGATTTCCCAGTTCCTACGTCCCTGACGTTCCCTCCGTCCTTTCGCAATGGTGGAAGAAAAAGGGGAGCGCAGGCGTCTGCCTGCCTTTAAGATGGGTGGATAGATGTGCTGACGAGCGCTTTCTAATAATGAGAGACCACCGTCTTTAATCCACCGTCTGCTGCAGAGCGCTAATCATCGGACAGATCTCCTTCAGCCAATTAGGAGCTGCGCTCTTTGGGCTGATTTGGGTTTTGTCAGCAGGCTGGAACCACAGCCCTGGACTGCTTCCAGTTCAGGAGCGTTTGGATGTGGGAGGGAGTGGGGAGACTGGTTTAAAGGCTGCTGCGAGCAACAGGAGAGCAAATGGTGCAAAATAGGATGAAAATGCGCACATTTGCACAAATGAAACACATTTTAACAAATAAAGCGACAGATTCTTAGACTTTTGGCCCTTTTTCTCTCTCCCACTCTTATCAGTTTAATTGAACCACTCTGCCCCGCTGTGGACGTTTGGAGACATTACAACTAGGGGCGTAGCTAGATGGGGGCCCAGGGGTGGCCATGGCTACCCTTAACCAATCATTGGCAGAGGTGTCAAGTAACTTGTTACTGTACTTAAGTACACTTTTTAGGTATCTCTACTTTACTCCATTACTTATTTTCCTCCTACTTCTGACTTCTACTCATTACATTTTGACACAAGTATCTGTTCTTTCTATTACTTACATTTTTAAAACGTTACTCGTTACTCTTGGCTTCAGTTTAATGTTTCTAAATATTTATTTCACGTCATGTGCGCCATCCAATGCAGATCATTGGCTCCATCCACATCTATTGAAAACTAGTGTAATTGGATGAGTCATATAACGCCAACACTCATTGGTTAGCTAAAGGAAATCATCAGAAGCAAGCAGGTGTTCTTCAAACTGCAAACGTGAATTGTCTGTGCCAAGGGTCACCAACGCAGTGCCCGCGGGCACCAAGGGGCCCTCAAGGACCACATGGGGTGCCCTCAACGCTTTCTGAAAACAGCAACTCAGCAGTGGGCTAAGTTTGAAATTTTATTTTATTCTGTGACTCTTCTTTTTAATCATTTATAGAGCATTTCATCATAGTAATCATATAGGGCATTTTAGCATTTATAGAGATTTAAAAACTATATTGTTTCAAGGAAAATTAGAAATTAAAAGTTAACAATAAAAATGTGTTTAATTTGGATGAAGTTTAGGTGAACGCTGACCCCTCTTGTTCATAGGTCAGTATTGGTAGCCCTTCCTAGGATTGATTAGCCATGAAGTAGCCCTCAGGCTTGAAATGGTTGGTGACCCCTGGTCTATGCCATGCTACAATGTCGGATTCAGAAAAAGATGCTGAAATGTCTGAAAGGTCGAACACAGGCGAGAGCGCATCAGGAGAATGAGACCAACAAGACCTCACTCATCCTTATAGCCTGGGTGCCATTCCGAACTTAGTCCCGCCCACAACGTTTGAGGTCGGGAAGTTCGGTCTGGCATTACTCCATAGCAGCGCGAGTATGCTCGCACAATATCTGGTCGAGTCAATCAAATTGTCAGGGCGGGCTTTATACGATGATGGAAAGATGATCAACAGTAACGTAATCAACCACGTCACCAAAAAGCTCTTGGGTGACAACAACAATGGCTGCCGCTGGAGAGTTGAGGTGAGTAGATTCTGCTATTAGGTCTGTTCTAGAAGATATCGACAGCAAATTAATTTTAAAAGAGGAGCAGAGAAACGCGATCAAGGCATTTGTTGAAAAGAAAGATGTTTTTGGCGTCCTTCCTACGGGATTCGGCAAAAGTTAAATTTATCAGCTGGCTCCTTTGGTCGCTTATCATACGTCACGCACTCCGTTGCTCTTAATGGTTGTAGGTCTATCCAATTGAGTGCAGAGGCATTTTTTTTTCTGGTTCGTTCGAAACACGCCCCATAATCACAGCTCTATGGAGCAGTATCAGACTCATATTCTGACTAGAATTGAGTAGGACTACGTCAGGCTATCATCCTTGGCCCTACCTCAAAGAATTTTTCAAAATAGTCGTAAAACTGAGCTTTAAATTCATATAGTGGCATCTGGCTGTTTTTTGTTCTAAAGGTTACTTTATACTTTTATACTTTAAGTAGTTTTTGGAGCACATACTTTTTCACTTTTACTTGAGTAAAGAGGCCAAGTTAATACTTCAACTTTTACCAGAGTGTTTTTAAACTGCAGTTCCGTAAAAATTCAAAAAATATCCACTGGACTTGGTTTTCAAGATTTGAAGACGTTTCGCCACCTCTCCAGGAAGCTTTCTCAATTCAAATGTCTGGATCCGCAGTGAGTTTGAGTCTTATATAGACAACCCCTTGTATCGCTTGGAAACATGCAATGGTAACCGATGAATGGGTCGTTTAGTTCCATCGTTAGCCTGTAATATCTGAACCTGTCTATGATTGTTAAGGTTTGGTCGTTAAGGAGGTATTGTTCACCGGCTGGAGCGGGTAGGTCCCTCGTTCCTCTGTGATGGGGCGGGGGGGCTTCGGAAGCCATCTATGTTAAGAGAGAAAAAACAACTTAAAACAGAGGTGCTGGACTGAGATTCCAGCTTCCAAAAACATACAATTCAATCATAGACATGATCCCTTCCAGATATCACCAAACCCCCCACCCCATCACAGAGGAACGAGGGACCTACCCGCTCCAGCCAGATTTGAATGTCTTCAAATCTTGAAAACCAAGTCCAGTGGACATTTTTTTAATTTTTACGGAATGACTATGATCTGGATGACTGAGAACCTTCATCAGCATATTAAACTGCAGTATCTATACTTCTACTTAAATAACAAATGTGTGTACTTCTGACCCCACTGATCATTGGTCACCCCTACCATTTTTTTCCCTAATACAGATGGTGGCAGCAGTAATACTCTCAAGTGGAATATTCAAAACATTGACATTTTTGTGGTTAATTATACACATCAATAAACTATCAAAGATGATAAATACAGAATTCCTGCTCTTTTCAGAACTAGATTTTGTGTTATATGGGGTAAAGAGAAAACATGTCTCTGCAAGTCATCTGGGAGTCTTCAGTGAAATCATAGATAAATACCAATTTTAATAAAAACTTATCAAATAATCAATTTATGTAGATATTAGTGCACGTAAATATCAATTTTAGGCAGAATGTTTATTGATACAAGTAAGTAAGTAATGACGATGGAAAGATTTACGCCCCAGATCTCAAAACTGAAAGAGTTTTATCCACTATATCTTTTATTTAGAAAGCACTGATGTTTAAATATATGCGTCTACTTGTCAGCAAAGGTTGTAGAAAAGTATAGTTTGTCTTTATTTAGAAAATGTGGATGTTTTTCTCGTTAATTTTCCTGTTGGAACAGTGTAGACTGACCCTGAGGTTCTGGTGCCTATCTGCTTTCTTTAAAAAAAAAATGCTCTGGCTACGCCTCTGATTACAACATCTCCGCTTAGAAATTATGGCAGCAATGAATGCTATCAAAATTCTAAATATACTTTATTATCATCCATAAGGAGGTGCTTATTTTGTAGTTAGCAAAATGAAACATTTAAAAATTTAACAAATAAAAAATACAATAAATATTGCAAACATTTATTCAGAGCAGAAATGCTGGAGTAGAAATATCTTCTGTTTTCTAGTGTTGGATTAGGTCCCATTGTTCAAAAGGCTGATCCTTTTTCTTTTTATACTTCAGTATTTTTCTGCCAGAGACCAGATGGTTGCATCCTCTAAAGGAGGTGAAGACAGAGGCGGAGCTGGAGGGCGGAAGCAGATCATAGCTGTACTTAGATATACTGGAATTAGAAATATTGCATTTGAAGTAAGACAATAGAAGATGATCATTTTCTATTTTTTCTAAAACAAAAATCATATTCTTTCTTTAGATCTTATTTACAGTTCCCATTAAAATAAAGTACAAATCCATTCATTTAAAGAAAACATTCTAGCCTTTAGTTTACTTTTTGCAGTGAAGGGGTATCAGTAATTCTAGGACTGGAAAATTAGTTAAAATAATTAGAAGGATCTACCAGAGCCCTTACTCAGCTGTTTGGTCTTCTTTAAACTTTGGTGTGTAAATTAGACCACAGAACATCCCTGATTGTTCAAAATATTCAGCTCGAGAAAAAAAAGTTTTTAAATCTGTAGAAACATTTATGTATTTACTGATAAAAGTAAAGCCTGACACCTCACACACATTTTGGGATCTACATCCTGGTACGGATACAGCATGAAGTGGGGGTCCATGTGCTCCACCCGGAGAAGAACACAACAGCAATGAGGAAAAAATGGCCTAGTTAAAGATTTTAACAGGATCTAAATGATGCATACATGGTGACCAGAGGTGGGTATAAACTAGTTACATTTATCCATCCAAATTCTGTCACGCTTATCCCAAGTGGGGTCACGAGAGGTGCTGGTGCTTATCTCATGCTGTCTACAGGCAAGACATAGGCACACAATCATTCATACACTCACACCAATTTAGAGAAACCAACTAACTTATTTGTTTTCAGACTGTGGGAAGAAGCCAGAATACCCGGAGAGAACCCACACATGTTCAGGGAGAACATGCAAACTACATGCAGGAATCAAACTTATGAAATTATGAGTACTTTATCTACATTGTAGTTTTTACTTTTATTTGAGTAAAATATGAAAAATTATCACAACTTTGAAATAACATTTCAGGCTACTCTATACTCTATACCTTCACTTCACTTAAATGAAAACAAGCTAAAAAAGTATCTGAGAGGAAACGACTTCTTTTTTGACCCAATGCTTAGTGGTATAATGTTGTTTTCAGAGATAGGTAGAATTCCCCCAAAAACTTTACTCAAGTAAGACTTTTTCCCCCCCTTTATTTCACTCAAGTAAAAATAGAAAACAGTCATCCAAGGAATCATTCAAGAGGAGGTAAAAAAAAAAATACTTGATATGGGCTAATAACATCTGATTTAATATTTGAACGTATTTAATAGGACAGACAGCTATGTGCAAATTCAGGTATTTCAAAATATTAAAAAACATTGGAAATAAAAATGTGATTGCAAACTAATAAATTGGACCAAAAGAAACACTTTTCTAGAACAATTTGTCATCATAAACTTGTAAAACCAAAGTGTGTAATGCATATATATTTGCAATTCATAAAGAACTACTAGAATATATACCTGATCTCTAATAGAATAAGTTTCTTGTGGTTGAAGTAGAGTAGTGATATTTTAACTAGAATATTACTTAAGTAAAAGTATAAAGTACAGTAAAGTACAAGTACTCCTAAAAGTATTTCTATACTTGCTATTTCTATACTTATACTTTCTAAAAGTATCTCAAGAAAATGTAACTGAGTAAATGTAATTACTTTCAACTGCCTC